AGGTAGGTAGGTAGGTAGGTAGGTAGGTAGGTATAGGTAGGTAGGTATAGGTAGGTAGGTAGGTAGGTAGGTAGGTAGGTAGGTAGGTAGGTAGGTAGGTAGGTAGAGGTAGGTGGAGGTAGGTAGAGGTACAGTACATAGGTAGAGGCTAGAGGTATATAGGTAGAGGTAGGTAGAGGTAGGTTAGCAGGGGTAGGCAGAGGTAGGTAGAGGCAGGTGGAGGTAGGTAGGGTTAGGTAGGGTTAGGTAGGGGTAGGTAGGGCTAGGTAGGGTTAGGTAGGGTTAGGTAGGGTTGGGTGGGGTTGGGTAGGGTTGGGTAGGGTTGGGCGGGGTTAGGTAGGGTTGAGTAGGGTTGGGTAGGTTTGGGTAGGGTAGGTAGGGTAACTTAGGGTAAGGTAGGGTAAGGCAGGGTAAGGTAAGGTTAGGTAAGGTAGGTAGGTAGGTGGGGGGGCTTAGGAAGAAATCTTGAACTGCTTTTTGGAGGAAACAATCGCCCCACGTCTTTGTCTTGGGACGCACTTCTTTGATTCCAATGGTTCTCGCGGTGACCCCACTTGGTATGATAATGGCCTCAAGTGATCGAAGGCAGTGAAACAAGAAATACAAGTAAAGTAAACAAGGTGTCTTCCGCAATCCAGTCGATTGGATTCTATTGGTGTATACTGTAATATAAGTTTACATATATAATTTTACATACTTTACTACCAATGTCAATAATGTGGCTCAGCTTTCTTGTCAATCCAATCCAGGCGTTTTCACCCTTCGTCAGGAGTCCACGGACTCAACACAGCAGGTATTTTAAACGCTGTGCTCGAAAAGAACGTGTGTCTTCAAACCTTTCATACTTGACTGTTTGGCATCACAGCCTCACGCAAATCAAAGCTGTCGCCCGAAGGAATCTGCAGGTTCTTTAGCTCCTGACATGAGTACAGACAGGATTGTTTCAGTGTGGTGCAATTGGAAGATGTTCACCAACGGTGCGATGACCTCTGGTTGCCTACTGCTGAGGCAACACAACCATACCCTACCATTGGTACCTCTAATTGAACTAACATGAACCAACTGTCCTTTCTGCTTCGATCGACAAGAGACACAACTCGATCAGTCGGACTCCTTACCGGACTTTGATCGGTCGAACGTGTGGAATCAAAGCAGCAAAGATGGGGCACACCAAGCAAATGCCTCAAAAAAATGAGCTGGCAACCTGTCCCAAAAATCATTTCCTCCTCACCCACTGGAAAGCAACAAACGTTGGGACTCAACTCCCGCTGAGAGACATTGTTACTAGTAGCGATCAAAGACATTCTAAAAAGCTTCTTGTTGTTGCAGGTGCAACGATTCCCAAGGAAGCTTCTACCCTAAACCCTACAAAAATAATCCTTATGTCTATCATTCTCTATCTTCCACCAAGAAAAGTCTACACCTGACGACCGCATACACAACCTCCACACAAGCCAAAGTGATCAGTGTCGGCCTCGGTGAACCGTTAGCCAGTTCTGCCCCATTCGCTCAAATTCACTAGCTGAGAAAGCAAACAACCTGGAACCAATGTGAGCACGCGAATCAGGCCATTACGTGAAGTAACGCCCATCTTTAACAAAGCACATGCAAGGCAGTGACCCAAAGAACAACGCAACACTGCAACCTCACCCCCTTTTTGCTGCACTCCTTTACTTTTCTCTGATTTTCACCCCGGTCTTGATCTCGAAGCATGACATCTGTGGCAATCCCCGCCGGTCCTTGAGCCACGCGTCCACAATATCGTTTCGGTAGACCCCAGTGAATGGCCTCGCCATGTTTGAGTCTTTTTGGATGCTCAGGATATACCGATGTTCCAGTCTTTTTGGCATGACGGGTCGGGTGACCTCGAGGACGTGATGAGCGTTCCAATGCGACCGCGACCGGGATGAGCGTCCGCCGCACCGGCTGGGCTCCTGACCCGTAGTAGGAGATGGACGCTGCAGAGAGGAAGACCTTGGCTCGAACACCGGATGCGACGCCTGCGGCCGGTGCGGCCGGTGCAGGGGAGTGCGCGGGTACCTCTCAAGCAGCATCGCCTGCACGCTCCTGGCCTTGACTTCTGGCTCTGCAGTGTGAGACTAACTACAGTGTGAGATCTTTGGGAGGGCCCTCGTCTATCCCTTTCTCCTGGCAACCAGTTAAATATGTAAAAATCCATTGTCTATACTGTCCTACCAATCATGGAAGTGGAACATATACCTGAGGAACAGTACCCGCACAAACTGAGTCCGATCCAATTCCGTAATTGTTGGAAGGAAGATGAATAATGGTATGTCTATGCATGTCTTTATTAACTCCTTGGTTCTTTCCTCTTAAGGTCTGCACATCACCAGTGAGGTTGATGATGTCTTGCCGAATCGTCGACACTGTCTCGCGCCTCGTTGAAGCAGGGTCTCAAGGACATGAGAAGGACTAGCTGCGGCACCATCGCAACATGTCTACCATCTGAGTCTCAAGCCATCGCACTCCTTCATCTTTCAGACCAACAGTGAGGATATCAGCACGCCCCAATCTCTCCTGTCTTCGCTTCTTGGTCTCTGATGTGACTCAAGAACGTGAGCCTACTCTGTAGATGGAACAGCTACTCCGTACATCTAGAACCACAACAGGACCGACAGCTGCACAAACTGATTGACACTGACACAGCACGTATTTCCATCTATACTAGTATCTGTAGCAAAGATCTGTTGAGGTTGGAGAAAAGAACAAGACTTGGCCGCATCCAAATCTGTATTCCCAACTGATTACCAACTGTTGAAAAACAAGAAAACCATATACCCTTGATAGGATAGCGCCACCAAACGCCACCAAACGCCACCATTTCACGGAAAACCCAATTGCACGGATCCTCCACATGTTTTCCCCCGATGAGTCCGAGGCGTCATCCGGATCCGTCGAGTCGTCTCACGTTGGAAGCGCTTGGAGCGAAACGTCAACAGCAATGCACCAAGTGAACGCGGGAGCTGGGAAACCGGGTTTCCCTGATCTTTCGGAGGCTCCGGAAACCGGGTTGGGTCCTGAAGTCGGTGATTTCAGATGGGACCCCCGCTGTCCTTGGTAAGCTGGGACTCTGCCACAAGTCGGTCCTGCCATCAGACAACTGTTGGAGCTTTCAGCTTGCATCCCCTTTCCCATTCTTACTGCCAACGCCACTGTTGTCCCTAAGGTCATCAACATCCTCATCATCACCATCACCATCACCACCACCACCACCACCACCACCAGCACCAGCAGCAGCAGCAGCATCATCATCATCATCATGCCCCGGATTGAGAACATGTTGCCCCGGCCTATCTGGCAGTTGATTGTCAAAACTCACACTGCCTAACAGCACCATCTCTTGACACCTCTGGCCTTCTCCGAAATCGTGTCATTGAGCTTCCTTAGCAAGCAACAGAAACTCTGCAAATGTGTCTTCAAATAAATCCGAATTAGACGATGCACATCAGCACCTCTTTGGAATTCGTTGCACGGGAAAGGACAGCAAATGAAGCCGTCCTGTCCTGTTGCCCTCTACTGTATGGATGTGATCCGGTCTTGAGAGCATCTTTTTGCGACTGGTATTGCTAAGCGTCTTTTGCAGGGCCGCCACTTGCGCTTCAACGTCCCGAAGATTGTCTTGTTTGGCCTGGCCAAACGCAGAGAAAAGTTCGCCCGGGATGCTTCTGTGGCCGGTCTACCGCCATATATTGTTTGGCAACCATGTGTGACAGCACAGAACTAGTAGGACATTGTCTGTTGGATGATTTTATTGCATCAGCACAGAAACTGGGAAAGAACATGAAAGAACATTTCATGGGCAGAAAGCAACTCAAATATACTCAAAACAATGACGCTTGTGTCAAGTCCATGACATGTGTTCCAGGTGTCAACCATTTCCACTCCCCTGTTCCTCTGTTCCTCTTTCGAGAACTGTGTGAAACGATTGGGTGGACTGTTCATCGACCCATCCGAAATCATGAAATCGACGCGTCGGCACCAGACCTGGAGCTCTGCATTGGCCTTGGCCAGCTTTTCATTCAATTCAGCCACCTGGGCCAGCGGGAAGGGTCCAGAGGTTCTGCTTGCACGCATCAACAGGAAGCCATTCAAAACCGTGAAGAACCATGACTTAGAGGATTGACACCCACAAACATTGACCACCATTTTCTGGGCCCATGGCCTTCTGCTTTTTGGGCTCCACTTCTTTTGCGACCTGAAACACGAGACCGTGGCGAGGTGCAAACATAAGCATCCATAAACACTTTAGCACAACCAGATTGACATCTATACATACATCTACTAGTACTAAGTCTTGCGAAACACATAGATCTGCAACGCTTCGAGCACACAGTCAAACCTAGCCGCCCAAACTCTCTTTCTGGGTGGCGGCTCCTTCGGCTACAGAAGTGAAAAAGTTGCCCAGCCTTGGAGTAAGTGTCCATAGCATAGGTCCACATGCACAAGCTCTTCGCTGCCTTACTCTGGTTGCCCACTGCTTCCACGGTATACTCGGGCTTTGTGACATACCTGGCGCAAGATCATGGGCATAAGTTGGCACCGGGCAAGCAAAGGATGGGATTGCAGCTGCATAGCATGGTGGAATTCCAGAGAATGTATATACACGGATGTACCATTCTGTTGCGTCTCAGGTTGCATGTATATGACTGGTTCACAGGATTTACCTGATCACGGCCTCATCTTTTCCTTGACAGCCAAAACACTCCAAGAATCCTCCAATGAATTTTCAATGTATGCAGTTCCACAAAGTCAAGGCACTTCGTCAACTGCTTCAGGACTTTCTCTGGGATGTTGTCCTGTCAGCAGTCTGATGTCCAGGTGGTCAAGAGGTGAGACTGGTGAGAGATGCAATACGACGCATCAGCGGTGAGTGGATTCGATCAAAACATCATTCGCTGATCCTACGACTGGCCCCACAAGCTACCTCTGTGTCGGTCTGTTTCGACAAATCCATGAATGCAGAATTCAGTTCTTGGACGTGCGGTGCTCAGTTAGTGAGGTGCGCGCTCACCACATAATCGCGACTGGAGTTGTTAACCTCAACTCCCTGAACGTATACGTGTGAGAACTAAGATCAGGCTCAATTTCCGAAATGACCTTCCTTCCTACCTACTGTACCTTGTCCTTGAAGTCCAGTGTTTGAACAAAGAACCAACGAATACCCAAGCAAGCAAACGACATACTCTATATATATATATATGCTACCCCCCTCCCCAAATGTCTACCTTTTTATATAGTTGATTCTATTTTGATTCCCATTTTAAGTTTGATTAACTCTATATTTATTAATATTAATTTGATTCTAGTTCAGTGCATTTTTTAGTTTCAGCTATTTTAAATCTTATACCATTCAATTTCGGTTGTTTTACAATTCTAGTTTAATTCTATTTTGATTACCAATTTAACTTTGCTTAATTCAAATTTATTTGAACTCGGTTCTAGTTTAATGCAAATGTGTTCCTAATGCAATACAAATTGAATTCTCATTTAATTATGACTTTATTCTTGAAAGAGGGTTTTGCTGGGGTGTGACTTTAAGAAAACAACCTTTAAGAAAGCAACACATAATTGACATCCTGAATGACCTATATAATTCTAATTCAATTCTAATTGAAACCAAATTCAAATCTATTTTAATCTACTGTAATTAGATGTCAATTCTATTTCAGTTATCATTCAATTCAATTTTAATGTTGTGTAACTTCCATATATAGCATATTTTAATTGGAATTCAATCCAAATTTATTTCTAGTTAATGGTTACTTCTTTTTCTATGCAGTTTATGTTTAAATCTAATATAATGTCGTTTTTTCTAATCTAGTTATGTCTTTTATGCGCTTCTAGAGAGTGTGTTTTGCTTTTAACATGAACGCTTTGTATATAATTTATGTGTTGCTTTCTCAAAGGTTGTCTTCTTAAAATGACACTCCCAGCAAAGTCCTCTCTCTAGAATAAAGTCTGCCTCAAAAGATCTTTTTTTGGTTTTCACTATGTGTGTTTTTTTGTTTTTTCAGGTGTTGAGATCCAAAAACCAAAAAACATTGCGTTTTTTGAAGGTTTATTGTACTAGAGCACTACCAAAAACAAACAATACACGTGCATTTTTTGAGTATTTGATGTTTGGTCTTACCACTGCAGACGTTTGCGCTCAGGAAGTGTTATTCAAGTTTTGAATCCAGGATTCAAGAACTTCTTTTTGAATCCTGAATCTTAAATCTTGAATCCCCTCTCGTTTGCAAACGTTTGCAAACGCTATTCCTGAATTTTGTGCTGAGTACAGTGTGGAATGAGCATTCACAAACTTCCTGAACGCAAACGTCTGCAATGGAAAAACCAAACATCAAATACTCAAAATGGGGGATATGTGTTTTATGTGTTTCCTTTCATGTGTTATTGTTTGTTGAATTGGGAAGTGCTTTTTTTGTTAGATTTTTTATAATCAAACATATGCATAAAACACTGTAAATACCAATCAAAACCAAAAGAGGTAGACATTTGGGGGGGTACCATATATATATATACGTATAATAAGAGACTCTTTCAAACCAGGCACCATGTATATTTCAGCCCTTTTCGCCAAAAAGGACTACAAGTGTTTGGCTCTGGCCGCTAGCCTACATAGTTGGCCATGTGAATGACCACATATCTCATCTCTGCATATATTGAAGCATTTAAGCCTTGGGCCAGCCAAGACACTGGTTAAGACCCATGGAACATACTCACCTTCCTCACCAGTTGATCCCAACTAAAACACATGGATTCACTCCATGGAGTCCAAGCAGCAGAAAAGGAAAAACGCAACTCAGTCACCACAGAAATCGCACGAACGAAGAACCTGTCGCAGCAACCCAAAAATCCGAACGGGCTCCACGTCCTTGTCGAAGGTTTTCAGATCCTGCAGGAACGTTGACCTGTTGAGCACTTTCTTCGCTGTATCCCAATCAGGCTTCTCTTGCAAGAGGACGTTCACCGCCTGCACTCACTCCCACGAAGTCGATGTATACAGAGTCAAAAGAAAGCGGAGTTGAATCCTTCGATTTGATTGGGCTCTCCATCTGGAGACTTCCATCGTCGACCACCGATCTGACTCAAGCCTCCATTGTCATCATCACTAAAGGTGGTGGCTTTGCGAAGGACTTGATCTCCTGACAGGCAACGGCGAGTTCGAATACCACTAGTTCAAGTGCTCTAAATGGAACACCTCTTAACCCTCAAGAACAAAGAACTGAACGTCACATGTCTGGCCACTCTTTTTCTGTTTCTCTCTTCAAAACGACCACTTTCTCCAAATACGACCAGCACCTGGATGTCTTTCTTGTCCAAGGAATCCAATGACTTCAAGGCACCTTGGAGAGCGTCCGGGCACCAGCGAGGAGAAGTCCGTCTCCGGAGGAGAAGTGAGGGTCACAAAGAAAAGAGGGAATGCACTGAATCTGATTGAATCAACCAGCTGAAGCACCAAAGCTTCAAGGAAAATGTCCTGAGCAAAGCACTTTCCAGGGCTGGCATTGCCTTAGCCACCGTTGATGTTCAGTCAATTGGGCTTCAAGAATGCACAAGCTACGTGCATACAAGACACAATGACATGTTGTTCCCATTTTCTTGTCGTACTGCTACTGGTTTAGCCGGATTCCCGCTATTTATTCTCCCAAAAGATCCCAAAAGCGAGCACTTGTGTAACATGATGCAACATGTATCAGCATGTTCTTGTCCAAGCCAAATACAAAATCCGTCAAGCCAATCTCTCAGTGCACCGGCAACTCAAACAACACACACCCACACACACACACACACACGTCACCCTTGTGTAGACGTGTATTGAGTTTCAACCCTACCTTTTCGATTCCTTTCCAGGCTCCGATCTCATTCGGCCTGGCTCGTTCAGCCCTCCGCGGGAACGGTTCAACCGAACGACCAGAGGTGCCCGACAATGTCCAGGTCTTTCTGTGCATCATCGGCAATGGCTTTGACCTCATCGGCTTGCTTTCGCACCACCACCTGGCCCGGAAGTAGTCGATCCACGATGAATTCTACGTGAAAGAGATGATATTCACTAAGTCGATCAACCGGATCAACCTGAAAAACGAAGAGAATGATCCATTTAAAGGACTCATCCAAATGGCATTGAGATTCTTGACATAAAAACGTCTGTCTTAAATTGGTGGCTTCGCATTCGGCCCCCAAAAAAGAGAGTCTTGGGAATGGGACAGTCTTCCAAAGGACTGTTGTGCAGTTCATCAAAGCCATTCCTTTTGACTCTTGGCAATCACAACTGCCAGTCATCAGGAAAGCCACAGTCATCAATTGTTGAGAACGTATCTGTAACTTGTGCCTCTGGCTTGTGGGTGCCTTTAACATAATTGGCGTATGCATGCATATGCTGACCTGAAACATGGTCTACTTAAATGTCTGCAAGGCATACAGCTGCGAACATCTGCGAAACCTCTCTTCAGGTTTTTCTTCAGGCACACGTCATGCTGCAGCCATGTCCTGCAGCCGCACCATTGTCATAGGCGATCGCATCCCTGTCGCCTCTTCGCTCGAGACCTTCTCTTTGATGACTTCCGCCTGCACATCATCGGACGACACCCATCGGACGGTGCTTCCGGCGGATGGGACAGCACGACGGGTCCAAACACACGGGACGACGCGTGCGCGTGCGTGCTAGGTCCAAGCACGCGGGCGTTTCAGGGTGGTTTCACTCACCATAATATCCTGCGTAACCCGAGTGTCTCCATGGTCGCGCAGCCTTCTTCTGCTCTTCAGTGACCACTGGCACCAGTTCGTCCGCCTCAGGCGAGCTACCGAAGAAACTGCTGCAAATAACTTTAACCGTTTCATACTGTTTCTGACCACACGAAGAGATCAAGAGTGATGCATGTGTAGCGCTCAAAAGGGACACATTGCCTGGATCTACACCATCCGGTGCCTGTCTTATCTGTCTTATCTTAAGCAAAAAAACGTTCCGCAGTAGACTGTAGACGCAGTAGATCACGGATGGGAGGCCATTTGAAAAACTTGTAGACCGATCTTCCACGTCCGATCGATACGGTACCTCTTTGATCTTCTCAGCAATCACTGGAGCCAACTTCGTGAGCTCTTCCTGGAGGTTGTTCACAAAGGAGTTCGCCTAACACGCCCACGACCGCACGACGCTTCGACTCTCGAGACGGGTTGCCAGCACAACGCGAGGCCAAGGCATCTCAAAAGATCTCAATGGGTTCTATATGGTGAAATGGTTCGAATGTTTATCACTGTTTATCTGATAACCTTGGACGATGTTGGAGCACACCCACCCACCGCAAAAAACTCTTCAGAAAGCTACCCGACCATGGGTCCGCCAAAAGCGGCATGGAATTCAGCAAACCTTTCTTTTTCAACTTCTATTGAACGCTACCAGCAATTGTTTGATCCAGCATGATCCAGGACTCCCTGGGCGTCGTCAAAGAGGCTGGTCGCTTGCCCGCAACAGGCGTCCCATGTCTAACCGCCGCCTCGTCAATCTTGTCCACACCTGTCTGGAGCCTCTTGAGAGAGACGTCTTTCTCATCCTTCTTTTCCTGGATCATCTCCAGGTAAAGACCTGCGCAGAACAGAACCTGTCCTGACTCGAGAAGAAGTTCACCCAGGTCACACTGAACAGATCGTGAAGACTGTTGCAGTATACGCTTCATTCTTGTACAGTTGTTTGTTTCTTTTTTACAAGCTGTATCTTGATGCAGTATATCTTCTTGACATCCTTCTGCATAGATTTCAACACATCTGCAAAGCATTGCAAACCATGGGCCCGGACTGATGAGGTCTAAGTAGGACTTTGGGGTGACATAGACCTTTCGCCTACGATGGCACAGGAAAGAGTCATGACACAGCCTAGAGGTGCGGCGGAGCAAGGAGCAAAAACGAATGATATCAGTCTACAATGATTTATCAATATTGATTCGTGTATATATATATATATATATGAGATTGAAGCTATGATGTCCTAATTGTTGCTATTCAAGCAAACCAAATTCCAAAGAGATCTGGAATTCGATTCTCAACTGACTTGCCTCAGTCGATCCTCAAAGATAGCAGAGGTTCGAATCACTTCTTGGTGCACAAAGCAGCACGCCTGCCGCCGAATTTGGAAAGCGTCATGCGGCTTGGGAAGTCAGTAGTTCTCAACCGCCGAGGGATACGATACGTATTCTGAAGCAGTGCAAGGCAATCTAGTGTTCCTTGTTCCTTGATATGTAACTAGCATTGATTTCAATATCAGATCATGTCGATTCATGTTAATACCTGATTCCTTGAACATCCGCGGTCTTTTCACGAACTGCAAAGCAAACAACCAAACAACTCTTCAGCCAACGACTTAAGACCCGTGCCTTGGCAACGGAATCCCTGACCTCATCGCTAATGCCTTGCATTCCAGAGAGCCTGCCATCGCGTCGGGGCGCACGAGTGATATCCGGCAAATACTCCTCGCAAACCACCATGTACCATGATTAGCAGTGGCTTAGGAGATGATTGAAACCCTAAAGGTTGGCAGGATGATCTCCTTGGCAGTCTTGATCTCTTCACCGAGCAAGAAATCGCTCATGTTTGCTCTGTGCTCTTCCAATCCATGCCAGAAGCACTGTCTGGCAGAGACACCAAGCAAGGCCTTGCCAAACAACGGACATGACCAAGTGGAAGTGAAACCATTGATCATCTGACTGGTCTGACAATGGCCAAAGTCTTTTTCACCATCAGTCAACACAATCATGCAACCGTTCTCATTCACCAGGTCTTTTTCACCAGGGACGCACCTCCTTCTTTTCATAGGGTGTTTCTCCCAAAAAAATGCCAGGGTGTGCATCTAACACGGCAAACACTCACAAGGCTCTCGGATGAAATGGCGTTTTGCGATCTGCAAACCTCGTCCGGCCACGGAAGGAACCAGTCGATGGTGCAGCAATTCACCAGGGCAGGGAACATCCGCATGCGGACCCTGAGGGTGTCAGAAAATCCGAAGGCGTCAAGGACTCAAGAGGACATGACTCAGTATTGTTTTGATTGCATAAGACTACCCTCCTCACTTCTACGAAGCAGCTTTTCTAGCTCCGAATCCGTTTTAGACAAACGATCCAATTCCAAAATGAGAGTCTCGTAAACTTCTTTAGCAATATTCTTGACGTGCTAGACTGTTAGACTATTTAACTGCATTCGATGCGCATGTTCGCCGGGGTCGCCAAGTATCTTACTAAACCCTCATCGGAAGTATCTTGGGACTTTCAGACTTGGGATTGGTGTCTTTTGTTGTGGAAGTCAAACCGAGGGAGGGAAGAAACCCTGCACACGGACGGGGGCATCATTGGCATCAAGAGATTGTCGCAGTAAGGACACACCGCCATTGGATGCCATTGGACACTGAGGTCTCTAGCCGTTTTAGCACCAACAAACAGCAAAGAAATGCAAACAGAAATCCGAACGAACGGGGCACTGTGCACAGGACACTTGTCTTGACAGTCGGTATTGCGTGAAAAAGACAAGCTGCTAAGCTGTCCGTCCTCACTGCTGGGTTTCGAAATGAATGTGCTGGATCATGGAGAGTGTTTCGCCCCCAAAGAATGCAAAAGAACCTATTTATGACGATGGTGTTCCTGTAGATTTTGTCAGCTTCCCTCATTCCATTCCATTCACAACACAAATTAGCGAACTGACCATCCGCTGGGCTGGGACTGCTACCGCAAGGCTGAACCCACTGGAGACATGGTGAGGACCTCAGAACGTTGAATCAGGTGGCCTAGCTTGAGCTGAACTGGACTCCGACCAATCAACCTATAATGATGCTCTAGAATCAGAGGTCTCAGGATTCTTCAATACTTTGCGGGAACCCTGAACCAGGCAAAAATGACCGCAACTTTCGCCTTCTGAAGTGGTTCCCCTCTGGAAACCTGCTTTTGACAAGCAAAACCTTGCCTGGAACGTTTGAGAGCCAGCAAGCCCCGAACGTGTTGCGAGCACTGCGAAATCTGCGAACGACCCAAGTCCTGTGACTTCGACTTCGCGCCCGCTGACGTCGTCTCCGAAAAGCGTCCGCTGATGTTGTCTCCTGCTTTTGCCCCCTACGCCCCCTAGTAGCTTCTTGTTACTAAGAAGCGTCCTTGTTACTACTAGTGAGGCACTTGTTACTAAAAGCGATGCACTTGTTCCTAGTAGCTTCTTGTTACTAGTAGTAAGAATGCCCCTAGTAGCGATGCCAGGAGCCCCGATCGTGGCGTCCTTGCTCCTAGTAGCGAGGCCCTTTGCTCCTAGTAGCGTCCTCTCCTGCTTTTGGCCCGATCTGAAAAGCCGATCCGCCGACGAGTTTTTTCGCACTGCGTTCAGCGCCTCGACTAGACTAGCGCCACCTGCTGATCCAACATTGGGGGAATAGCGGCTGTAGCGTTTGTTACACAAGCATGGCATGGCCTCAAGCAATTGCAATGAATTCATCCCATATTCGCGCCGATCGATACGAATACGACAGCGTTTCAGAATGTGTTGGATCAAATTGTGAATCCGGCAGCTACATTCAGCACACAATGCGTCTGCGAGTCAAAAGCAACTTATGACATGGCAAGTAGTTTCGTAGCTTCGTCGCAGATTCATCGATCGGTTTGGGATCTAACCACCTTTTCGATCAGGTGCCCCTTCCATTTCTGGATCTGAGTCGTGTCAGTGTCAGGCAAAAAGACTTCGTAAGCCCACCCTAAGCCCTTGACAATGTGCAAGTTCTCCCGCACTGACTCCACAAAGAACTGCCATACTGCATCTTTGGCCTTGAATGATGGACTGATCACGCGGATGTGGACTAGGTCCCCGACGTGAGGATACGTGTTCCCTCATGTGTTGCTCAGCCGCTCAAGCCAAAATCGAGGACTCGACAAGATTGATTTCGACTTGAAAGAATCTCAACCCTGCAAGATTGGTACAGCGAGTGAGCTGACTTCCTTCGCTAGATTTGTGAGGTGTCCTGGAGTCGGAGGGTCAACAGGCAATAAGTGTAACAAAAGCACACAAAATATATCCCGTGTGGAATTATAGACCGGTGTAGCTCAAGCTCCCAGATTCTATTAGAGGATCTTCGGCAGGGGATCAACAAAGATACCGTTGAAGATGGTCTTCTGGGCTTCCACGCCTCACTCTGACCACATTCTTTCGCACGTGGCCTCGAAGGAGAGGTGGGGCCACGGAAGCTGACGTGGTGTTCATTTCTCTCAGAATCAGAGTTTGGACAGATTTGGCTTGATTTCGATCGCAAATGATAGGCAAACAAACATCATCGAACAAATCATTACGTTCTAGGATCTCTTTTTAAGGCAATCTCTGACCCATATGACTGATGCACCGCATCAACTTCAGTCTCTGGGTGTTGTTCTTTTTTTTGACCCTCTTTCGGATCTTCGCACCTGGCAGCCACCGGGCCAAATTGAAGAGACCGCAAACTGGGCAGAAGTGCCCCATCCAAGCTGCAGTTGGTTCCGATGGACAGCTCACGCAGCTTGGGGAAGCTTTGCCCCTCAAAGCTCTGCTTGAAGCTATCACCAATGGTCAAAGATCGTAGTTCCAATCGATCGCCCAACAGCTGATCAAAGCAATGGCCAAAGCTCAAGCGCTGAAGATAGGGTAAGAGCAAATGCTCGATGGGCTGATCAAAATCATCTCCAAAGGTTAAGTTCTGAAGGCTTGATGGCAACGCCTCAATCCTCTGATTAAAAGCATCTCCAAAGGTCAGTGTCTCCAAGTGAGGAAGCCTTGATGTCAACTCGAAGGCTTGGTCGAAGGAGTCGCCCAAAGCCAGACTGCGAAGACCCAAAGGAAGGCATACACCATCCATCTTTTGGTTGAAATAAAATCCAAATGTCAGGCACAGAAGCCCACTGGGCAGCTTCGCACGATCCAAAGGCTGATTGAAGCCTTGGCCAAAGGTCAAGCTTTCGAGACGCTCGGGCAAACTCAAACGGTCCAACGGTCTGTTGAAGTCGGCGCCAAAGGTCAAGGCCTGCAAAGCAGTTGGCAGAACAAGGTCATCCATTGATTGATTGAAGCTTACGCCAAAAGTCAGGGCCTGAAGATTTTGTGGCAAAGAAACACCTTCCAGAGAGTGGTCAAAGTCATGCCCAAATGTCAATGTCAAAATGCCACTTGGCCAATTCATATCCAGCACAGACTGGTTGAAGTCATCTCCAAACGTTAAGCTGTGTAAGCTTCTGGGCAGGATCACATTTTCCAGACTTTGATTAAATTGCAGTTCTTGCAGGCCTTGGGGCAAAGTCACGTTCTCCAAGCTATGGTTTAGATACATTCCAAATGTCAAGGAACGAAGACTTCTTGGCAAGGATACTGACTCCAAACTCTGGACGAAGTCGTCTCCAAAGGTTAAAACCTCAAGGCCTTCTGGCAAGCTGACACCCTCAAGGCGTTGATTGAATCGATCTCCAAAGATCAAGACTTCAAGGGCACGGGGAAGCTCCGCAGTCAAAGGCTGATTGAAATCCTCACCAAATCTCAAGCTCTTGAGGTTGCTTGGGAAGTGTATACTCTCCAAGCTCTGATTGAAGGCCTCTCCAAGAGTCAAACTCTGCAAATTCTTCGGAAGACTCACGTTTTGCAAGCTGCGATTAAAAAAGAGGCCAAACGACAATTCTTCAAGGGCATTCGGCAGAACAACACCATCAAGCCGCTCGTTGAAACGATCGCCAAACGTTAGCGTTCGAAGGTTAGCTGGCAGCCTTACATTCTCCAAGCAGTTGTTGAAACAGCGCCCAAACGTCAAGCGCTTCAGCTTGCATGGCAGAAGCACCTTTTCCATTGGGTGATTGAAGTGCTCTCCAAAGGTCAAAGTTTCAAGGTCATTCGGCAAATCAATGTCGTCCAAACTCTCATTGAAGGCATGTCCAAAAGTCAAGCTCTTCAGGTTGTCTGGGAGTGAAACCTCTGGGTTTCAGGCAAGAAAGATCGGCCGTTTAGTACATTATGGTTAATGAAAATATGTTAAATGTTATATACTTACATGCAGCATGTCAAAGATTTCAGACTCTCAGACTGACAAAAGTCTTCGGGTTTGCACAAAAGGTCTCCCCAACGAACGCTGACGCTTACCTGCCCGGACACATGGTGCAAGTCTTCGCTGAAGACATCTCCAAAGGTCAGGGTGGACAAACTGCGTGGAAGCGTCGCAGTTTCCAAAGCATGCACTGAACAGCGGTCATAGAATATACTTGAAACGCCTGGCGGCCAGGCGTTTCATTGCGCATCCTCCAAATGCATTGACTTTTTGTTGGAGCCAGCAACTCCAACAAGACTTTTGACCAAGAACCATCATATATTAAGTTTGCAGTTTGCTGTTGAGACAATTCGTCATACAATATGATACAATATGATACAATTACTCTGTGGCAACTCAGGTCCCATGAGGCGCCTGACCTTGATTGGGGCACTCACAAAGGGTATAGATAGAACATGATCGAAGATGGAATTTGTTGCTTTTGGGATGTTCCCAAAGTCATTCTGCTGCTTGCTTCATGGTAACCCTCATGAAGATCAGAGCCAAACTGACCAAACCCTTGAGATTTCTCAGAGACCTTCAATGATTCAAAAGGCTTCGTCCAACCGAGTGCCATGTCTCTGTCGCTTGGTGAAAACGACACTGTGAACCCCCCAAATGATCCTTCAGGCCCTGAAGAGGCCTCGCAGGGGTTGCTCCTGGTGGCGCAGAAATGGGCTCCAGCAAAACATTCATGTTGGATCGATCGAAGACCTGATGTTTTGAAGGACCTGAAGATGCGAAAGAACCAATTCTTGCTTGTCTTTGTTGTAAATGCACTGGTGCCCCCAACAAATCATCATCGCCGACCTCCCCAACGATAGGAGCAGGGATGAGCAGGCGGACAGAAAATGTCCAAGAGGAAGAGCACAAAAATCAAGATATGCAAACATGCAAGCATGCAAGCATCATCCAGAAGCCCTTGTCCTTGTGAGAAGCCCCCATCAAGACCTTGCAAGCCTCCCACCTGGATTTTGAGTGGCGACCAAAAACACCTGTGGGTGTGTGGGGGGGAACCAAGAACCATTGCAAAAGGCCAGCCCAGTTTGCCAGGCTGTTCGGATGAAAGCATATGAAACCAGGCCGTATGAAAGCTGAAGGTTCCTGAGCCCTTGGCAGGTTTATGCTCTTGTAGAGGTAGGACAGGCTGGACATTTCTGTGATACCTTGCTCTCTCAGTGTCTTCTTTGGGCAAATCTCCTTATCCTGGAGCACCAGCATCAGCACTGCGCCCTCTTTGTGAGGCAGTTGCTCAGAAAGCAAGTCCATCAACTCAATGCCTGTCATGCAGTCCTGCACCCTGCATCTGAAGTCATGACCATCCAGTCCAGAAAGTCGCAGCTCAAAGGCTGGTCCGAACTCTGCAGCTGAAATCTGCTCAAAGACTCTTTTCATGGCTCACCGGATGGCTCAAATCCTGGCCGGAACTTCCCTCACTTTCCTGGCGGACTTCTCGGATGATTTCTAGTCCTAGTCAGGTTTTGATTGAAATCAAACACCCCATCACCATGCACCACCTAATTACTATTTCTATCTATGTCTTATCATTTCTTGGGGTGTTCTATGCCTTCTACCCTAAACCCCTCAACTCTTGCGGCTTGAGCCAGGCATCGGTTTCAACACACGAGCACAATTCGGGGCTCCATCAGCTATTACAGCGAAAGGGTCGACCGTGTGTAAAAACCTTGCGCATGGGAAGGGAATTGGTGGATGAGGTTAAACCAAACCCTCCAACCATTTGTTGAGCCAAGTTCGGCCCAGTTCGGCCAGTCTTTTTGCCTATCGCATTCATCAGATCTGTGTTGCCTCGGCGTCTCGAAACACCGTCAGTGTTGCCTCGGTTTCTACGAGGACCCGTTCAGTAGCGACCAGCACACCCGCCGTAGGTGCCATTGTTGAGGGAGCCAAAGCCGCCAAAGCCACCTGGTGCTGCATACATCTGAGAAGCCATGAGGGAGTTCTGAGAAGCTGGACAGGGCGTCTGGCCCATTTGATATGGCATTTGGGCTTGGGCTTGTGGGTATCCTTGGTATCCATTGCCTTGGAAGCCCTGGCCGCCCTGGTATGCTTGGTTCGCCTGATACTGGTAACCCTGGCTGGTCGGGTATTGATTGCCTTGATAACTCTGGTAGCTTTGGCTTGCCTGGCACTGATTAGCCTGGGCTTGATTTGCCTGGTAGCCGTGGTAGGGCTGATTCGCCATGTATTGCTGGTTTGTGCCGTAACCCGGATAGCTTTGGTTGGGCTGATATCCTTGGTATTGCTGATTTGCTGGGCATTGTTGATTTGCTTGGTACTGTTGATTTGCTTGGAGCTGTTGAGCCTGGTACTGTTGGTTTGGGTATTGTTGTTGTGCCTGGAAATCCTGAAAGCCCTGGCAAGGCTGGTTGGCCTCATTCCAACCGTTCTGAGGTACATTTTGAGAGTTGCTTCCACAAGCTGCGCTCATCGTGGCATCTGGAAAGGGAGCCTTGCGCTTGGAGGGCTTCCGGAAATCCTCATCATCAGAATCGTGTGACACACCACAGCAGGTGTTGATGTCTAACCACGAGCTGAGCGAGGTAAAAGGACTGAGCCAGGTGGTGGGTTGTGGTGGAGGAGTCCAAAGCTGTTGCAAATCCTGGGTCCATTCCACTACCTCAGCCACCACACAGGAGGTGTCATCCTTTTTGCCACCTCTCCCAATGGGCGCTTCGGCCAAGACACCGTTGGGCAAGGGCCTGGTCTTTGCATGACACTGCTCAACGATGCGCTGGGCCAAGGATTTCAGTGCTGTTTCTGGATACCCAGAAGCTGCCTGACCTGGCGGCAGCATGGTATTGGCCAAGTCGAGAATCTCATCCAAGAAGAGGTTGTCAAAGACCCCATCGCTGCCCATGATCACAATGTCTCCCTCATAGGCAGAGACGCAATTCACTGCGCTGCCCCTTTCGATGACCTCAATGGTCAACTCTTCGTTGAAGTTGGGATCGATTCGATCATCTACCCTGGCCAGTTGCAAGGGAGTCTGCGCATGGCCATCAATTCGTTGCATCTCCGTGTGGCAAACCAATTCCAAGGGCCCCCGTGGCCCCTTCACTCGTCGTAAAACCACGAGCTCACAATCTCCCACGGTGATGATCGCAATCATGGGATGTAACTTCCCATGAATTCCTGGTTGTCAACTCACGAACGAAACATGCTAGGACCTGCGGGTGAAAAAGTCATACGGTTGTTTTAAAGGTTGAAAACAAACAATGAAACAATAACATCCTGTAAAACATCCTGAAACTGGAGAAATCATGAAAAAGCACTTTTTCAACCCAGATGCGTGTTGAATTGTCCATCACCGCCAAGACCACCGTCAACGATCCCAAACTCTCCGTGGCCTCAAAGGCCCGGCGTAGCATGGACACGGGACCGCGATAGGTATCCGCGGCGGATAACTTGGCTCCTGGGATCAGCTGATGCATCCCCAATTGTTCTACCACCTGCAGCAGTTCATTGGGCAGCATCGAAGCATCAATGCCGAAATCCTCAATTTGTGAGACTCCATCCGCCACACCTAAGACCAACGGAACGGTCAAACAGGCATCGGCGTCCTTGTGACCCTTCTGAGCTTTCACGGGATGTGTCCTTTGGTAAGAACATCCGTTGAAGCAAAGAGGCTTGTTCTTGTGGTAAGCCTCTGCTAATTGCTGCTCCCTTCGCTTGAATTCATCCAAATTCTTTCTTTGTCTCTCAGCACCCACCAAGAAGGTAGGTGATCGAAGCATTCCATCAGCCATGGTGGCCGACACAAATATTCAACAAAACCACTCTTGGCTCCACCTGTGTATTGTTTCTGACTCCGTTGCTTTGTGTGTCGTAGGTAGTGGTTTCAAGATTCAAGTCTGAGATGCTATTCTTAGTATATCCCAGCTCATGACAGGTAGGTACTTGCATGCCAGGGATCTAATCAATTTTGAGCCAGGATCTTCGTGAAATGCACTCACAGAGCATGAGCAACGGTCACAATCATGGCTGGTTCACGGGGCAATCACACTCAGCTTCGGGACCGTGTATCTGCAATGACCCGGTCGATCTCATCATTCGGGAAGAGGTTTGGCACCTGCCGACCATCACACCGTAAAAATAAGTCGTTTTTGTGAAAAAAAAATCTGCAAGTACATCCTTCCATTTTACATTATATATATATATATGTATGTTTATATGTATATCTTCCGCTCGGGACTTGTTTGCTTCGTCAGTACGTTTTGCTGTCTGATACAAGGTTGCACTGTTACACCCCATCAAATGTATGAATCTGCAACAGAATCTGCTTGGAAACCAACATGTTCAAATCTATAATGTGCGTGTTGCAGCACTGCAGCAGAAAGAAAATGCCAAAACGATCCAAAAAGGTGTAGGTTGCCAGCACACAAATCTAGAGCCATGTTGGTTTGGTGTCCAGGGGTCCATGGATCTTGATGCGCCAGTTGATGAAACAATGAAACATCTTCTTGATGCACGAGCTGAGCATGCTTTGCTCCAGTTGTAGGAACACCTTGTTTTTCATCACCTTACTACCCTAAGGATCCATGCTGTCAGCCATCCGAGGTGTAACAGTAAGCCCCTGTCAGCCATCAACCCTGCCCCTTCGACCCGACCCGCGGACGGCGCCGCAAATCGCCTCGCCAGCGTTGAGGATGTTGTTGATGTCCTGGAAGCGACGGGAGCGACGAGGGAAACGCCAGGACGAGCGAAAGGCGCCGCAGAAGGGACCCGCGCCAGGGACCCGCAGAAAGGGCGAGTCCGCCGTGTTCGAAGCCGTTTGGTCACCAAGGTTGCCAAGGCCAATGAACACAGAGGTGTTGACCTGTTGATGTTTTTGTCTGGGGACTTCAGAATTGTATGGCCATGCATAAACCTCAAACCAAAGCATAGCAGGGACTCTTGTATGTGCTTTTCCCTGAAAGGACGTACCGTAGCATCACGGCTGCACGCAAAGTCCTCAAGGAAGGTCTCGTTGATGATCTGTGTGTCACTGAGCAAAAACATCGTTGCCTGAAGACACCGCTGGAGTCGCTCAAAGTCAAGCAAGTGTGACGAGAATTTCTTTGAGGCGCTGTTGAGTCTCTCTGTATCTGTAGAGAGACTTTAACGATGCGCAGGATCACTGATGGTGTCACTGTTGAGGTCACCAAATGAGCTCTGCATGGGCGTACATGAAGCTAATGTATTTGATATGTTCAGCCGAATGTGCCTTCCCCCTTCGATAGATCTCACGTGCTTGAGCTTTCTTGGATTTCAACGCTCCATACGATCCCATACTCGAGGTACGAGTAACACACTTCAGGTGCGCCTTCGCTGCCCCAGCACCTGCTGAGATCAAGAACTTCTTCTCATCTTCTCGGAAGGCATCAATTCCGTAGCCCTGTGAAAGCGGACCAAGTCTGGTCCCCGGTATGAGATCGATCGATCTGGGTGTGCTGATTGAAATGGACACCGTCGACGTCTTCACTTGCCCAAATGGACACTTCTCATTACATGAGAATACCGTAATACCATGTAATACCTGCTGTCCGTCTAGTCCTGACATGACCTGACTAGTTCCGCAGTGTCTACTCAGGTCACTCGATGCATAGAGCTGCGTGCGCCCAAGCAACCAGGGTGATCCGCCATGCATTTATGCTTACCGCAAAAATGAACAGCTTAAAACCATGATTGGCCACCTGGCCTCAGTTTCTGAAATCCTTCCGAGTACCGTCGTTTGGTGGATGAAACAAACTCATACAAACTCGACTTTGCTCCCAAAGTACATACATTGAAAAACAACTTCTAGACTACATCTCCACCGGTTCCCTGCTAGGGTCTTGACCCATGCTTACGCATGGTGAATGGTACATACCCATCATCGCCAGGCTTTCGAGGCATACTGTGTGTCGATTCACGTTGCATGTTGCCCTGCCCTCGAGAACGTGCCTTGGTCAAAGCAATGTTGAACTCACTCGTCCTTGGGCGGTACGACCAGAATTCCGAACAACAAAGATTCGTAAAGAAAGGACCAAACGTGAGGACATTGTTGAAGAATATGAGAATCTCAGAAGGATTGAGAAGGAGTGCTTGAGTGCCAAGATGACGCGATAAGGATCTTGCAATGGATCTTTTTGCCTGCGGTCTTGCTTCCTTGCTTGCCTGGCCTTGCCTGCTTCTTCGACAATGACTGAGCTCCGAACTCTGACATGCAAGCGCCTGGGCCGTCGATGGACCTCCTTCAGAAAGAGGAAACTGGCATCCTATTCTTCCTATGTCATTCATCCTATTATCTATATGACATCATTGGATCTATGAAATCTATGAAAAACAGTCTGTTCTTAAAGAAACAAAAGACCACCCTTCGAAGAGTTGGTGATTAAGTATCTTCACTCTGATGTGTTGTCAAAAGGCTGAAGGCATAGTATAGCACACGGTACGCAACTGAAGCAAGCCTTCCAAGAAAGCCGCTTCCAAATGTGTTAAGAACAATGAGCAGTCACCTCAACAAGGTTGCTGTGACCACAAACCGCCCTATTTTCTCGTCCCGATGAAGGAGACAGCGAACGACGACGTTCCCAGCATTTCAAACCAGCAAGTCATCCGATTGCCCGAGTTTTCTGCCCTAATTGCAGCAGTCAGCACCGCCACCACTTCTCTCTGGTTCTCGCCAAGCAGCAAATCTTGGCGCAGCTCGAGCGTCCACTGCCTCCCACACCCACGAGGAGGAGATTGCCACGAGGCTGCGCCAAAACCCGTGCGATGCGATTGATGTGTTCCACGCAGTCCTTTCTCCGCTCGAAGGGCTGGGTAGCGACAGATGCACGAGTTTGCGCCGACTAGTTCTTTCAAACGTTATCTAGTATATTCATTCAAGAATGAAAAACGTGGACAATTTGATGCACAAGAAGCAAGGATCGATGGGGTTTCTTGGAAGCTGACCTGGTCCTTTGTGAACCGTTCTGCCACTTTCTATCCACTTCAAGGAGTCAACGAGATGGACTTTGTCTAGATTATAGTAGATTCATGTGCTGTCAGAAGGCTGAGCCCGCGAGCAAGCTGTAACATGTCACTCCTGAAAGAAGACCAAATTCATCTGCGCGGTGTGAGAGAGGTTGTAGTCATCATTGGCGTCTTCAAGAACCTTCTGCACCTTGAAACAAGCTTATCTGAGTGGGTCCGGCCAAATCCAGAAAGCAGGATACATGTAGCATCATCAACAGCAACTCACTGTGATATAATAGGGGAGTCAGAGTGTGCACTGTCTGATGGGTTTCGGCTCTTTTGTCAATTGGTCTTAATATGCTCTTTGTGACTTCAGTATCTATTATCTATAATAATAATTAGTCACTAGTCCTCTTGCCAAGGATGTTTGAGGCTTGCTCAAAAAGCCCGACTCTTATAGCCAAACATTTGGACCATGAACAACAACACACTTGCTTGTACCATCGAATTGGATTCGATTCAAACTGGCTTCACATCGGCGATCTCAAAACACATAGACACAGTCAAGGCTAGTAGCTTCTTGTTACCAGTAGTAATGCCAGGAGCTACTAGTAGCTTCTAGCTACTAAAAAGTAGCGATGCCGATGCCCTTGTTACTAGTACAGTAGCTGGTTTTTTCTGACCTTTTTCCTCGAAACAACTCAGTCGTTCCTGGTCGCCTTGGTCTTGTCCTTGGCTTCCTCATAGACCCGTGATTCCACTGGACGAAGGAAGTTGCACCACATCAAGGACGTCCAAATTTCAGGATCGGTGTCCATGACACGGAACCTCCAAATGACAGCAACGAGGGAACAGGATTTCAACACACGAGGTGAACAAAGCAAAGCAAAATGAACTGACCATGCAACTACTTGGCCTTGGATCTTGGTTTGGGATCATGATCAAGTGATCCCCGGAGTGTCTGGGTCTGGGTGCTTACCAATCTTACCAGTACCAGCTCCCAGTGCACCTGGATTTCAACTGTTCAGCTGCAGCCTTGTAGAACCACTCCTCCGGCACGTGAGTTGGCTTGGTGTGTGACAGGAATCGAGCCGTGCAAGTGGTTCCCCTCCGGCCATCTCTGGTTGGTTGGTGGCTTCAAGTCACCTCAAAAAAACAAACATCATTGGGAGTATATAATCCTAGGAAAGAACATACAACACCTTTAACATCCTTTAACACAAGAAGAAAATTCTGGTCCTTGGCCTGTGATAGACCCTGCCCCCCTTTCGGTCTCGCGAGCCGTCATTCGGTGCAAACTCCCTCTTTCGGTGTCATCGACGTGTCCGTCGTCCGCCGCGTAGCGAAAGAATCGCTCGTCCTTGTCAGACTTGTTGATCAACCGATCACAAAAGACTCGTGACAGCTCGTGGTACCACAGCCTGGCGGAACTTTTGGGAATGCGCCGGATCCTTTGTGCGAGAGGAAGCATCTGAATCTGGTGTTCGGTGTGTACAGTGGCCAAAAAGTTTTCTACCCGAGATTCTGGAAGTATGTAGGATGAGTTCTTCCTGCCATTCTCTGGCATCAGCATGCAGCCCTAAGAACCCTGTTTCCCCAATTGGATCGATTCCGGTTGACGCGTCTTTCGGCGAGCCGCCCTCGAGCCCTTCGAACACTTGTCGCCTCGTAAACGCTTCAGCATTTGGTACCTCACGACTGAGTGCAGGAGGCTTTCATGAGGTCTTCCACCAAAGCTCACTGTGGGATGTTTACAGCGGCAAAGTTCCAGATCGTAACCGGACCTAGTCATTTCCTTGAACCCGCAGATCGTAAGAGCCTGTTCGAAGCTGTTCCAACCTTCCCGCTGCCATATCTGCTCTTGGTCCGTGGCGTGCATCGCCTTCACCATGAGCAGACCCTGGAAGACCTGGCAACACAAATCGACTGCAACAAAGCATAGGGAGGGTGGCTGACCCCCCCCCTGATCACTAGGCCTCATGATGCTCGGAAGATGCACGAAAACTCGCAGTCAGAAGATATTCAGTATATAATATATATAATTGTATATAGATAGTATACTGCAGTATACACATGTAACTACATGTAAAGATTTGGCTCGTCTCTGACCTTCAATGATGAATGAAGCACAGTGTTGAAGGCCAAACATGCTCAGAAAGACCACCCAACATCATGTTGTGCAACAAAAACCGCACACACCTGAGGAAGCACACCTCACAAACAATATCTAGCAGGCACGAGGCATAGACGCATAGATGTAGCATCCTCTGCAGGCATTTGTCACTTCAGCAGGAGTCCAGTAGCAGCAACAGTACTTTGCCAGCTACTTTTGGCAAGTAGTACTTTGGCTCCTTGCCCGCGGTCGATCTGTAACAGGTCGAACAGTATTCCAATGTCTTCGAAACACCCACCAGCTGGTCTCCCTCGGCGCCATGGCGGGATGGCGACGACCTCCCACCGCGCCTTCGAGACATCTCGCAGGTTGAAGGTATAGTGTGGCCGCGTCGGTGTGGGCAGCAACTCGTCTCCGCACCTGACCCGTGCGACGCGTCCCACCAGACGCGTCCCACCCAGAAAGACGACTGGAGACTGGAAATGGGCGACTGGACATGCGAACGGAACCTGGCAGAACATCCGGTGTATTTCGCGAGGTCGACACCGGTGAAGCAGAGTCGACACTTGCTCCGTGCATCTCAAAGCACTCTTTTCCTTTCTAGTGCTCGAGTGGAAAAACATGCAGCTTCGAGTGGCTCCCAGCGAGTGGTGCAAGGGTGACATGAAAGCATTGGGCGTTAATCCAAACTTAAATACTTTCGGGCCATTGGGCATTCACAAGGTGATTCCATGTGATTCCAGTTGTCCCCGGATTCGAGGAAGAGTTGCGGAAAGCAAGGCTTTGGCCGTCCAAAGCCTCAAACCGAGCTTTTGGGGGAGCTGGTGAGGTAGCCATAGTAGCGATGCCCTTAGCTAATTACTTCTTCTTACTAGCAGTAGTAATGCCAGGAGCTACGTTCGTTTGATCCTTTTCCTAGTAGCGATGCCCTTTGTTCCTAGAGAGCATCTAGGAACATGTCTTTGTCTCACGATGGCGACTCCTCTGTTTCAGCCTTCAGGTCTCAAACAGCTTTGAAGCTCAGCGCAGCTCAGCTGAGCGCAGCCGAGCACCTTCGCGGGTTCTGCACTGGGATCCCCCACTTGTTGTAGATATCGATGGTCGCTTGTACTGAGGCATTCGCCAAGCCTTGCACTTCGCCTCGGCCGTTTGGCGCCTGGAGACACTCTAACCAAGGGATATGTGGAGCTGCAAACCGTGAAGAACGGCTGGGCCGGTGGGCTCTTGAAGCGTCCCAGGAAGCCCGAGATGATGGAGCCGAAAATGGTGGACATGGCCTGGCCAGGAAAGCGAGTACAATCAGAGCGATGGCCTCCAACCTAATAGCGATGGCCTCCTAACCCGCATATACCACTGAAGCTGCTCTTGGCTCGTTTTGGTTTAAGGCTTGTGTATGCTTTGTGCTGCTTTCTGTACAGAAATGGTGAGTCACCTCTGTTGTCTTGGAACAACCATGTCTGCCTGAACGTTTTACGGTGTATACCATGTCTAAATAACTATAAACACTTTGATAGGGTATACCCCGTATGCGTGTCTGACAGCAAGCTTTAGGAGTTGTTACCAATGATGCTCGTCATCAGCAGCTTCCATGCACACAGTTTGAATACCATTTGGTGGCCAACTGGTGGCTCAAACTCTAAACATCTCTAAACATGTTGTAAACATGTTTTAAACATCTTTAAACTCTACCTCAATGTCTCGCCTCTTCACTGGTTGGTGGCATGCACACCACCTGCACAGAGCGGATTCTACACAGACCTGGTTGTTGCAACAACTCGAGTACGAGGCCATGCCCAAATCGTCCAGAGCGAAACTCCCAGAACCCTTCGTCGACGTTTTGACCACATCCTTCTCCTACATCGCTTTCAGCATCTTCCTGGCGTAGGGTGCAGGGTGCAGTTCGCGCCTGTGAATGCCTGGTGAAGCGCGCGGTCATCTGGTTTCGGCCACCGCCTCATGCGGTCGTCACTCCGATCATGGTCTGTAGGTCGACGAGCAATCAACACAGGCAAACATCAATCAATTCAATCTATCCATAAGCAGCACATAAAGAAAACGATCACACAAAGAACTAAACCATAAAGAAAGAAGCACCGACGCAATCATCTGCCTCAATCATTATCAACCTTTTGTTCCAAGGCCTGGTGGAGCCGCACAAAGCAACAGCGTTGTGTTCTCAATGTCCTTCAAGTCATGACGTTCTGCGGAGCATAGCAAATTCCGTGTTCCGTTTTCTATCGGACCCTTCATCATCCCATTGTTTCATATAGTTTCCATGTTTGCAAGTCCTTACCAGTGGTGAAGTCTGACATGAAAAAACACTTTGCTAATCTGCGCACTGGTTTGAAAAGCTCCGCCACCGTCGCAGCACACATGCCGTACGCACACACATTCAAGATCAAGTATGCACACCCTGAATGCCACAAACCCTGACGAACCCCAGGTGAAAAAGCGGCCTGAGTAAAACAGGATCTTCAAGAGCAAAGGAGATTTTAAAAAATAAAAACAACATATAAAATAAATAAAGAGAACCGACAAACAAGTCTGCCGAGAACTCTGCTTCCTGTTATGGAGCGACGCGCTTCCACTCCAGCAGGTGCATGGTTGAGTGTCCCCACCCACTTCCGTTCGTCGTTTTATTGGACCAGGTCAATCACTGGAAGTGGAAGAATGGCCCCCCTGCTTTCGCATTTTAGCTGAAAGCCACAAGACAACCTGTGAATCCAAAGGTGTTTGCACACGCCCCCCCAAAAGGGCACAAGCTAAGGGTCCTGCAAGGCCTTAAGAAAAAACGCCAAGAGACGGATGGAAGAAAAAGTATAAAGCCGCTCACGAAAGAAAGGAGAGGTCGAAGACAAAGGCAAAAGGGAAGACCCGCAACCTGTGAGGGACTGGGCCACCTACTACCTGAGAAGCAAAGACCTCGAGAAGCAAAGAGGAAAGAAGCTAAGGTCAGGACAGGACAGGATCCACTTGAATCATGAATCCGTGGGGTGGCTTGGGCCGCTAAGTGGCCGCCCCAGCCACTTATGCCCCAGTACGACATGGCCGGTTGCTTTGGCCCGCTGCGGGCTACTTACTGTCACAACTGCACGACAGCATCCACCGGCTCCGGTCCACGGGGGGGGCACAGAGCTCGGGCTCGGACTCTCTACACTCAAAATAAGATAAAGGATGTATGCCCTGCTACAAGCCCTGACAAAACCTAGGTGATAAAGGGGCTTGAGTAAAGCAGGATCTTCAATGAGCAAGGGCTTTAAGTGTGAATGTTCCAGGTCCAAACTTCTAGTGCAAACGCTCGAAGTTCCAACACACCCGAACGACGGCTAAAACAAGGGGAGATACAAGGCGAGGTCTACAACCAATAGTGCAAGTCTGCCCAATGCCCGTCCTTCCACTCGTGCTTCTTGCGATCAAAAAAGCCCCGCTGATCCTGGAACTGCCTGCGACAAGCGAGCTGGTCGAGGCATACGCTAGCATTCTGCGTTTCATGAGCAAACATGAGCAAACCATGTCCAAAGAAGGAAAGGAATATCAAAATATAGCAGAATAGAATGGACAGGACCTGTATCTCAAGACTTAGACTGTCCAGTAGATATTTCTTGAAGTACTATATACTGTCATGTTTGTCCACTCTTCGGATGGAGATGGATGGAGTGACTTGCTGATTTGGGGATTGACTTCGGTCGATGGATCGAAGTCGGCAACAGATCGCAGGGCTCCTGAGCAACTCGATGGGAGGCTGTGCACCATACTCTTCCACCAAGGGCATGTTCACATCATCGATCAGGATCACATTCTGAGCACAAGCGACATGTGGCGACTTGGTCGGCAAGAAAGCACAGCTTTCTGATGTTCGAAAGAAACAGACTTTCAAGAAAGCATGGAGCTTCTAATGCTGCTCCTTAGTTGGAGGCATCTATCGGAAGACATTGCGTAAAGCTTTTAAAGCTGCCCTTGGAATGTCAGAGGCAAGCAGTGGAAAGACATTGAAGACAGGAATGCTATGGACCCAGGCCGTCTTGTTGACTGGTGCGCCCAACAGGGTCTTTCGCCATCTTTCGAGCTTGCTCTCAATGTTGATCTGTGTCTCCTTGGAACTATAGGAAATCTGCATACAGGAAGTTACCTAGCAGGACCTAGCAGCCATATTGGCACTTGTACAATCCAAAACAAAAAAAGAACTGCAGAATTGGCAAGGCACAAGCACGTGGATGTTCCATAGTTCTACACCCACCGGTCAAGACATACAGTCTCTGGAATTTGCAAAGCAAACATGTGCTCTGTTGGCCTGGTGGCAGCGAACTCAGATCTCTTTTTGGGCCATGTGCAGTCCAAGTCGCGTAGGCCTTCGTTTGAGCACTGAAGGTCATGTAGACCTCTAGTGCTTCAAGTTAGTGAAAGCATGGACATGCATTGGCACACTGACCCAGAAACCCCAGTGGCCGCAACGCCCACCAGTCGCACCCAGAAACCACCACCCACCGGTGCATGGTGGTGAGCATCCCATGACAGAAGACTCAACAGGTCAGGTGACTGGTCAGGTCGGTGTTATTCGCCTAGGCAACGCCCACGCTGGAACCAGCGCCCAATGCCCACCCTTCCAGCACATCGACCCATTGCAAAAAGAAACACCCGAAATACAGTGGTTTCAGAGATGGCACCAGTTACCCCAAGTGTGGTGGTTCATATGGACGCCCAGGTCGTGTGTGGTGGTTCATGGAGCTTACAGGTAACGTCTGTGCCATCTCTGAAACCGCTCATGGCCGTGGCGTCGGACCGCCGAGGGGCTGGAACCACCGAGGCGATCTCCTTCATCTTCTCCAACAAGGCCACCACGTTCACGCTCTGCACGAAACGGAGCACGGAGAGAACGGAGAACGGAGCGTGTCAGATGAGAATAAAGACCGCAAGCGGGCGGTCTGAGACCAACCCCGCATGATTTGGTTTGAGGGAAGTCTTCCAGTCCAGGATGTACGTTGCAGAACTTCGGGAAACAAACATCTCACCGTGAAGGATCCTCAACACACATACCTCCTGCCAAATCAAGCTTACTTTCTGCCTTCAACACCAGGGAACTCCTGGGAAACACCCAGGGCCCGTGACGGCCCGTGACCCAGTGGTGAGTGCTTGAATCCATCACTGCCATGGCGGCAGAATATGTTTTTCTCGACATGAAATTTGCTGGAAGAAGGAAAATGGCAACATGAACGATGAACGATGAATATCCCATGTGGACCCGCACGCTCTCTGACCTCTTGGACTCTTCTACATTTATAACATGTATCAACACTCGAAAGACTAGCTAGACACACTGAGAAACATCTTGGTTATATAGAAACTGGAAAAATGACTGCACCACTGCGGGCACCGCTAGCCTTGCCAACTCCAGAGTTGCCCGTCAAGAACACGGAGTTTTGCGTGGTCATCATGCGATCCTTTTCGGAGAAGCTGGAATTAAAACTCAGACGCGGTCCATCACAAAGTGGCAGCAATGGTGAAATTCGCCAGTTTGTTCGCAGTAGGTTCGCGCCTCTCTTTGCATCATGAGCAAACACGATAGTATGATGTGTGATCACTGAGAGATGACTGATAGGGCAGGCCAAGCTTATCAAAACATGTCAAAACCACAGGTTGCTCTCTTCACACTTCTCAAGCAACAGTTATATTAGTTATATAATGCTACTGTATATAAATGGTCGTTGTCAGTTGAAGCTGGACGACCCTTCTAGCTCTGTCTGCGCAGGAAACAATCTCCTACTTGTACTGAATCAGGTACGAGCAGGTCTTCCAATTCTTCCCACGCTTTCATGCCAACAAGCTCACCCAACACATCAGCGCACCATGATGTAGGAGAAGCGAACAGTGTCGGGGTTCGGCACCAAAAGCCTCAGAACTTCCCCGCACCAAACTCGGCTCATCCCGCCGAGCCACCCACAGAGCCACCCCATCCGTTCGTGGAACCGAAAGGTGACGCGTCCGTCCGCATCGCATTTTCGCCACAGAAAAGTTGGTGTTTTGGGGTGTGAAATGCTTGGACCACATCCCACATGGGTCTTGACTTCAGGCGACTTCAGTGGGTCTGAAGGTCAGTGGGTTGTTTTCCAGACTCTTACTGATCGTGCGGAGTAAAACAGTAAAACCAGGGGACCTTGGTTGACCACCACAGAAAATGAACGGAATGAACGCCCCGGTCCCAGGGTCAACCTACCAGGGCGACCAGGTATTCAGGTTTTGACACAGCCACATCTTCCCACCTCCCATCCACGACCTGCTTCGAACGAACGATTTTTCAACGACGAGGAAGTCGTTTGGCTCAGTCGAGGCGCTGGAAGTATGACACACCATCCTGGAAGACGAACTTCGGCACAATGTCGGTCCAGCTCTTCCATTTTGGGCCTCCCAAATGTCGATCCGGTGTGCTTTCTGAAGGTCCGGTGTTGGTCCGGGTGTTTGACCACGGGGGAATGAGCATGGATGAGTGTTTGACCACGCAGAACACCTGATCAACATGGCTGTGTAGTTTACTAGGGAGGCAATGGGAGACATCACCTGAAACTAAAGACACCTGATCAAAAGCAGACTAAACCGATTGATTGGTAAGAACCATCTGAAACAGGGCGGGTCTGAAACAGGGGCGGGATGGGGCGGGTGGGTATGTCTTCTCACCCTCTGCCAGATTCCATGTTTGCTTGACACCAAGGACTGCAACCACAAAATGCACGGCAGGTGTGGCTGTATTCCTTCGGCATGCTAAGAACCTCCAACGTGCTTCGAGCATCAAAGAGAAGCACCTTTCTTCATGCAACCCGCCTTCGTAAAAGTTGATGAAGCCATCATATGGACCTGAAGAATCCGTATCTCACTTTGGAATGCGCTCCGGCAAAAAAAATAAAAGCACGAACTGAACTACATCGATTGGACAGAAAACTTACAAGCGTCTGATATTGGACAAGAATGCTTAAATTTAAAGCATGCCCACTCAGCCACAATAGAGAGAGAGAGAGAGACACATGCAAATCATTCTGATTGCCCATCTTCAGGTGATCTCCAACCTAAAACCAGCCCAGTTCCCTACCTGCTTTCTGATCTTTCTGGATGCCAATCCGCTGTTCGAAGGCCGCGCCCCGTCTCGCCTCCTCCCCGAGGCATGGAGACGTTGGGGAACCAATTCTCGATCTCTCGGGCAAACCTCAGTCGCTCCGATCAGGAAAACCCGGAAACATCGGGAGTGGACGCCTCTAGTGACCTCAAAGGAAGAGGTGGATGAAGGAATATGAAACTCACATGAAACTCCATGATATTTTCTCGAAAGGTTCTTAGATGTTCTTAGTGATTGAGGTGATGGAAGGCTGTGCGCAATGGTTGGCTGCGCATTGCAATCAGCTCCTCTTCACGAGACAGGTCTCGTGTCTCACATTGGAGCAAGCTGATCGCATTGTGCACCCTGCATGCAAACTATGGTATATCATACACACAGTCAGCCACTGTATGACATACCGTGTGCAGAATTGGCTGTAGGTTGGTAGCTGTCACCTCCCAAAAGGATCCACATCATGCAGGACTGCTGGGCCAATGGCATACCTCTCGTCTTGGCATCACAACCTTGGACATGAGAACGCATCTGCAGCTGGATGGTGAAAGGTACTTGGTAGATCTTGGTAGGAGTTTCAACTCGACTCTTCAGAGCAAATGATGGGCATCCAACAAAAATCAGCCAAACCAAATGGCAGTTTCACCACCCTGTGTATCGCCAAGTGGTAGGAACCATCCTGTGTGCCTCGGTCTCCAAAGGCCGGAACGTAGCTGCAAAACCCGGGTCGGCGGTCCGGAGTCCAAGTGGCTGCCACCGATGGTCCAAGTGAAGGCAAAGCAAAAGCAGGGCTGCAGAAACTTCTCGAACTCAGCGGCCTCCAATTCCGGAGCAGCCGGCGACCGTGAAAACCGGACACGTCGAGCTGTGGAGCCGGGGGAGTGGAGCTGTTGCGGTAGCCGGACACGGATCTGAGATCGGTGCGCATATTTTTTGGGGGAAACACCCTGGAACAGGGCATAGACGTGATTATACGTGATCTAAGATCGGGATCAAGATCAGAAAACCGTCGGGATCCTTTGGTTTCTGAGCTCTCACATGTCGAAATTTTCTAGGTCTCGTCTCAACAAAAATTTCAGCACGTGTCCTGTCTCAAATAAGCACGTGTCCCTGTCACAATGATCTCACCTCCAAGGTTGAGATCTTCCGCGGCACCAGCACTGACTCTCCCTGATGGCACGTTCAGATGTGAGGGACGTGTTTTTCTCCTCCTGCGTGTGGGACGTGCACTCTGAGCAGAACGTTATCATTTCACTCTTCCCAACGTTATCATGTGAACCTATGTGAACCTTATCGTTCCTGAAGGTTTCCCTCATGTGATTTACTTGGTCTTCACTGTGACGTGATGCTGCCTTCATCGGAGGTTTTGGCAGTTGCTCATGTGTGTTGGACGATTGAGCGACCGAAGACTGGACGAGTTTCCCCCCTGAAATGCAGAAATATAGTGTCCGGTTTATTACTGTAAGGGATGGTCCGGTGTAGAGTTTGGACACTGCAAGGAATGGTCCGGGATGGTTAAAACATTGTCATTCAAAATCCATATATATATATAATATATAATATATATATATAGTCTGTTTATTAATGATTTTGTATGTTCTCAAAGGACAGGGCTTCTTGGTGATCTTGTGACTCCTCCATGTCCAACTCCATTAATTAAACCAGAAAGAATTAAATTTCGGCAATTTCTCTTATCATTTAAGAATTCATGTGGCCTGTTTATTAGCCAGGCAAATGCTATGTCCAAAGATTGCCAAATGTCCGGGGCAAATCCTCTCTTCTCCCGGCACTCAGATCACACAGCACGTCATGTCCACAGTCAGAAACGGCCTCTGCAACTTGAGCATCCTTCGAGGCACAGCTGTTCCCAGTGGCTGCCTTACTTCACAAGGTCGCTGCGGGGATAGAGCTCGATGTTTTACGCTGGCAATGCACCGCGTTCAGACCGTTTAGACCGTTTGCGTCTTCACATTGGGTATTCAATTAGGGAGACCGTTCAGACCGCAAAGGCTCAATGGATGTTGGTCTATATATGTTCCTTCTTCCAGGGGGTCTGGCTGGGGATCTTCCTATTCTAGTACACACCCATATCAAACAGAAACACATTTTACAAATAATCCTTTCTTCACCTATTTTCCATTCACTTCCAGCCTCTTCATTCATCACCGACTGGAAAAGCCGGCACAGGGAGATGACGAGCTGGGTATCCTGGAGAAAGTGTCTGGCAAACAATCCTACTATCCAATCGCTCCCTCGCAATATGTCCAAAAGCTTGGCAGTTTTAAACTTGGTGTACAGTGCACAGGAGCCACCTTCGACCTTTGGAATGTGGGCCTTTTTGCAAAACCAATTGAGACCAACAAGAGGAGATAAGAGGAGATAAGAGACAAAGAGCACCAGAGGACCATAGACGGACTAATAGAGTAGCAACTGGGTAGCTGTTTTCCACTCCTGCGTGCCCACAGGCTCAAGGCCATTCTTCCGCAGGAAGTCCAAACCTTCAGGACGTCTGGGTAGCTTTGTCTTGGAAGTAGGTAGGACCCACCACGGAAAGGACATTTCAAGAACCTCTCTAGGGTCTCCTGACAAGTCTCAGCCTGCCGTCAAAGAATTCGAACTGCCCGGGAATCGGAGCTTGGCTAAGAATCTCGGCCTCGTTGCACATGAGTGTCAAAGTAGCTCCAGATCATGTCCTTGGCCTAGAAGGACAGTGGAATCACAAGACTGATCTAAAGGTCAATGACCCGTCTCAGAGCTCTGAGATTTGTTCGATGGCAGAAAGGTGATCACCATGGCATAACACATGGCCCCCAACAACGAAGCAAAGATGCTAACAACCAACGAAGAAAAAAGAAACATGAAATGAACTTGGTCTGATATGTTGAGACTTGAGATATCTCTTAATTGCTGAACTATCAAACTGCTATTCGTATATAACTTGTGCTCTGCACTGAGTGCCTGCTTTCCCGTTCCCAGAATGCCTTCTCGGAGAAAGGTTGATCGGGCAGAGAGCTGAGCCATGTTCGAACGAAGGGCTCCCATCCCAGATCGGAGGGCGTCAAGTAGACCTCAATCAATTGAAAGTGGCACATGTTTCCGGTGTCACTGGATAGATATCCTCTATCCTGGTATCATCTGGTATCTGTCCTCTATCCGAGTCAAGTAGACCTCAATCAACCCAGGTATGGCTATGGGTCATGGCACTGGTCCGAGACCGACCGACCGGTTGACCTCCCTGGTTCGCCTCGATCCCACTGGGTCCCAGCACCATTCCACAGCGTGACACCGTGGCAGGTGAGGCTACACGCAAATCCTCCACTTCAAAGAGCATCCGCCTCGGTCGCATCTGGAAACCCCGCGGTTTGCGTGCCCGGGAGGGTTCCAGGCTCACAACTGTCAATCCATCTATCCTGTGAGCTGTTGTTCTAGCTGTTAGCTCCTGTCCTACAATCCACCAGTAAAATCAACAAAAGTCCACATGAGCTGCAGATGTGTTCAACACAGCTCCTGTGGATACATGGAGAGATCATGTGACCCATTCTTTATCGGTGGCAGAACTGGCCCAGCTTCCTCTTCCTTCTGATGAGTTGGGGCAACTGATCGACAGAGACATCACCAGAGATCAGTGATCCGATCAAACACGACCAGACCCAGCTCTCCCAGTTGGTCGAGGTCGACCCGATACGCTCCACCCTGATCCAAGACACATGGTCCAGTTCAACTTGATACGCTCGCCATTGGCCAGACCTGGGATCAGCGTTCAGTAGGTTGGAAGCACCACTCACAAAAGGGACCGAGATGAGATAGATCAAATGGTCACCTGCTTCTAATTCTTCTGCAACCTCTTCAAATACAAATATCACAGGATCTCGTCTCTCGACAGCATGCAAGCATGTATGTCCGGCAAAGTCTCCCAAATGAATTATATATTGTTGATAATTTTTGTGCGAAGTCTGCAAGGAGATTGGAATCCAGAACCTACATAGCATATATTGTTGACTGCTGTTCAAGCATTCGATGTCTTGCTGAGACCGCGACAAAGGGTCATGTTGTCATCGAGCACGGTGTTCATATTCTCGATCCAGATCGCATCCACTGGTCCATCAAAAACGGTCCATTTGTAGTCAGGGCTCTCCTGGGCCACATTTGTAGTTGACCAACCCCCTTCTTTCCAAACAAAACTGGACCTTCTCATCATCCTGAGCTCTCCAGGACATGGAAGGACATGGGTAAACCTTTTAACAGTTTTTATGAAGGCAATGCACACTATCAAATGAGCTCGAGGACAGTGCTTGGAAGTAGGACCTAGGAAAAAGAAAAATTGTTCCTTGTGGTGTTGGAAAAATGCATGTACAATTGACTTGGTAAATCAAACGCTGTATCAAGAAAAGCCTCTGCAACTTCTTCCAAGCGCAGGGCACTTGTCTTGACCGAACCAAATGTACTAAGCTGTGAAGGGTGTAGCTGTGAACCTTCCCCACCAGCTCCAATGTCACTATGAAAACGCTCAAAACCTGTTTCTCCGCAACTTTTCACCACAGCCGCTCCTCGGTCTGATAACCGCGCATGATGCGACTGCCGAGGCCATCCGTCCACTCCTGAAACCCCAAGGTTTGGAGAACACATTTGAGGATCAGTAATGAGGCATTCTTTGAATTCCTTATCTATCATCTGGGTTCACCTGGTATCTAGTGGTTTCATGAAGTTTCGACTGTTACGAGTACAGTATAGCAAGAACTGCGGCATGGGTCTGGATGTCAGTGAAAAGCACACCGGAAATTAAATCCCATCGAAAACTATAATCGTTTGAACAGAAAGAAAGAAAGAAATGAAGAAATGAAGGAAAAGGAAGTGATTTGCCGAAGCCAAGAGCTGGGAACCTGTGTGAGCTCGTTGTTCTCGCCGTACAGCTCTCCCATGGTGATACCCTGGTCAGAAGTAAGCTCTCTCCCTGGTGGACATGTCCCGAGATGACACATGCAAATTAATTGACTTCATTGACTTGTCCTGTTCAGAAAAACCGAATGACTTGCTTTGGCCAAAAATAGCTCAAGGCCAATGAACTGCCTAAGATGCCTTAGACATGTGGGTGCGCATGGAATCAATTGTAAACACATGCGGAAAAAAAAAGGAAAAAGCACCTTGGGATTGAAGCACGTATACTTTGTCTTCTGGTAACGCTCATCTGGACTGTTGTCCTCCCGCAATTGCGTGAGTGCCTGAGCAGTGACGTGGGTCCGTGGGTGGTTTTGGTAGGTGATACACAACTGCACGGTCATTAACAAAGGCACGGAGAATAGACCTTCTTGAGACATGTCTTTTCTACAAACGAGTTATTAACAACCAGACCAGAAGGGTGAAATGCCTGTCTTGATGCCACAACCTGATGTAGGGGTTGAGAATATGTCATGCATTATTATACATCTAGGCAAGGTGCATCAAGCAGTGTCTCAACAGCATTCTGCTGAAGATGCACGACTTTGTGCAGTGAGCAACTGTCATCTCCCGAAACCAAGGCTGCCACAATGGCCAAGGTCTTGTAATCAACCTTGGCATCACCACGCGTCACCCAGCGTTTCGCATCTTTTCAGAGTCAGCAGCTGGTTGGAAGCTTTATTTGCCAGGTCTTGATCAGTCTATTAACTGCAACGAATTGACTCTCCCCTGCAGGAGCATGGGCCCGGCTGCCCGGGCGACCCGACAGATTTGCCACCCAGGGTGGGCCCCACCAACATCACGCCGAAACGCACCATGAACGTCTCGAAGAGTTGGATGGTCTTGGTGACCAACTTGTCATGGACCTGCACGCAGGTCCACATTTCTCACGCAGGTCCGGTCGAAAATGCCTTCGGAAGCCCAATGAACAACCGAGCGCCGGTCCGAAATGACACCAACCTAGTAGCGATGGCCTCCAACCTAGTAGCCCAAGAAAATCCTCAAACAAATGACCGGCTTCGTTCCCATATTACTTTGACGAACAGAGCAGTTCACACGAGAAGCAGTCAAACACTCGTGGCTGTGGGTGATGTGACCATATAGCACGAGCATGTGTCACACGTCACTGTCACTGTCATCTATTTTTCATTAATTACCAATCTCATCCATTCTGATAAAAGGAAGTGTTGAAGACGATCTACAAAATCTTGCAGTTGTCGTGCGCGTGAGTGATGATGGTAACTAGTGTGGAAAAAAAGAAAGTCATCCGTGGGACGATCCAAGCATATGCTGGCTGCACTGTTGTCAAACAAAGAATTCATACATAACACGCTTATTGACTGTGACTAGTACTAGAAAAACCGCTCGACGCTCTGGAAAAAAAAGACGCAGCAAAAGCATGTGGAGACTTGATACTACCGCCCTTGCACGAGAGCATCTGTGCCTTTTGATATCACATTCCTCCAAATCCCCCGAGAGCACGAGCTGGTGAGCAGCAAGCCCAAGGCGCCCAAGGGTAAGGGTGCCGAGAGCACGGGCGTGGGGTGTGGGTTGATGAAAATGATGCCGCTGAGCCTGGGCTTTGGGACCCGCTCACGCCCTGCAAATGGCAGCACTTGCTGAACCCTCAAAGAGTCGAAAACGCCTCATGAGGCGGGGTGTCTGCGGTGCCGCCTGCGCCGCCTGCGCCTTCGACTGTCGCAGCTGTGGCTTAAACTGTAGGCAACGTCCTTGACTTTGTGTTACAAACATGTTCTGAACGTATCCGTCACTAGCTTGTTTGGGCGCGTCTGTGCTTCGGCCTCACCCCCTTCTTCTGCCTTCTGTTCCTCTTCCTCGTTCTTCTTCTTCTTCTTCTTCTTCTTCTTGCTTCTTCCTTATCTTTCCTTCTTCTTCACCCATGCCATTGCCTCCTTTACATTAATGATAGCTGTTCTTCACCCATGCCATTGCATCCTTTACATCATGACAGCCCCACTCTGATTGCATCACTTGCATCCACAGCCTCCTCAAAACTTACAAGTTTCCTCATTTTTTGTCCACCCACTTTTGGTCGGTTTTCCCCAATAAATTCTGATGTTTGACCTTCCACCCCCAAACCCAATACTCACTTCGTTCGCTATTCAGATCTTCAGCCTAGCCTACGGCTGGCTTTCGTAATCTTCTGCAGAGGTCGGTCTAGGAGTCTAGGCTGCTGGGGACAGAGACAAAGGAGCTGGCTGCTGCGCGTGTTCTTAAGGTAGGTCTGATGGCACTGGTGAGGCGGACGCGCTGAACAGGCGCGGCGCGCTGAAAACCTCCCCTCTCCGCTGGGAGGTCGGTGATCCATCGGTTTTGCACCGAATTCAGTGCACCCAACTTGCACACCGGATGTGCGCGGATCCAAAAGCATCCATCAATGGGCAATGGGTCTCTAGCGCCTCTTTCCTGGGAGCAAGAACCTCCGAGATCCTTCTCAAAACCCACGTGCTGCAACTGCAACGCTTGCTTGCAGTGTGGTGGCAGTGTCCCTTTCGTTCAGTTGTCGCAAACGCAGCAACATGAAAGCCTGTGTAACTGTAACCACTGTTAATTTGATGCTTTACGCTATGCTACCTCCCAAATCACAAGACTAAATGTCTAAATGTTCACCACCCTACATTACACATCATCACACTACACTTCAATACAATTCATTATTACATTACATCTCATCACATCACTAGTGACCATACTACACTTCAACACATCAACAAACAACTGCAACACTCTTCGCTCCCTCTTCACCACATCACAAACCATCACGTCTCACATCATCGCATGACCTTTCATCATCCAGCAATTCATCAATCATGCTCCTCACACACACACACACACCACATTCCTATGGTTTACAACGACTCGTTGAAACTTCCCCTCAGCGGCTCTGCGGAGGATTACGTGGCATTCTGTATATCTAGAGCTAGTCTCATGTCATTACATACACTGTCCTTACACACATATTATGCATAATTACATCATGTGTAATATACATAAAACACAATAAACCATATTATATAACGTATCCACTCTCATCCCGCTCCATTCGTTGAGCTTCAATCTTCGCCGTCCTTGATCCCATGTTCCATGCTTCGATCCGTAAGTTCCACTCCCGGCGCGTGGCACGTGGCGCTGACTGAGCCTGTAAGCTCTGCTTTTGAAGGCCACGCTCGATCTCCACTTGCAAGGCACCTAAGTGAGCAGGTCGCACCTACGAAGTTGGTGCCCAACTTAAAACAAAAGTTGCCATTACGGAGGGGGGGAAGGACTTGGGGAAGACACTCGTGGCCTTTTTCCCTGTTCTGTTGCCATGGTTCTAATATGTTCTAATGGTCTTTGGATGTCCTCATGTTCTGTCCAGTTCAGGACAACTGTACAAAAGAAAAGACCTTCAAAGCAGCAAGTTCCCAAACGTGGAACCATCAAAGCTCACCAAACTCAGGAAATCCCTCTCATCTTGGCTGCGGCACCGTAGTCATAGTATGGCACCTGATTGGCCGTTCCGGTGCCATGACAAGTGCGGCAGTTGAGCCATGCAGCCTTGGCCTCTCTTTGACACTCTCCGAGAAGTGTGTACAACAGGTGTCCCATCCCAAAGAGCTGGGAAAAGACGCAGCTCGGCGTTCTTTGCGGATCCCCCTTTCACCACGCAGGGGAGGTCACGGTCCATCTCTGCCAGTCGACTCCTGTCTGTGTGTGCGCCTCGATTCCAGGGAAGAGATCGTTCACAATGGCAAAGAAGAGTGGTAGATCATCGGACAAGAACTTAGGCACCTGGATCAGGTCATGTTCTGGTCGCGGTTCGCGGTTCCAAACAGAAAGCAGAAAGTCCCAAGCGATTGAACAACAGCAGGCCCATGTGCATTGCGTCATTGAGCATGTTTCGAACTTGCCACACGAGAAATAAACATCAAGTATCTGATAATTCTGATATTCTTGGCTCATGTGGCTGTCAGCGCAGGTCACGGCCAAACACCAGATTCGGGTAAGTGTCAAATTCCTAAGATGATGGCATTGGAATCACGCATTGCACGGATCAGAAGGATGTTCTCGTCCTGCCGAGCGCGATTGACATATGCCAAGGACATATTCGGTTCTTTTTGCTGCTGAAATCCCTTGATCACCTACTATGTTGGTGCTTTTCTGTCCACCAGGCAAAGCAAGCCCCTCACAAACTCACACAAAACCTGCGTAGATGGTCTCTTGTACTTGGAAGCACGATCATGCAGCTACGTATCTAGGTGGGAGATTACGACTTGCTGTGGTCCACAGGAAACACCTGGTGTGGGTTGCCAGCTGCTTCAGCCTGGATTCCCAAAGGCTCCAGGCAAAGAAGACTTCCATGCTTTGCGATCCCAGAATACCACACAAACATTATATAAGAAACATGACCCCTTGATTCAACGTCTTGGAACAGATTCCACCTATGAATCGATTTCAAAGCTTTCTGCCAGCCTGCCGGTCTCTCGGTCTCTCCTCGTCGGGATCCGCTCGCTTGAGACTGCCAGCCATCACCAGGACAGACCTCAGTGGTTTGTTCCACAGGGGATTGAAGGGTGGTGAAGTAATATAGAAACTAGCAGGTTTACAGCGAATGGAGATTGCGAGCAAGAAAAGCTCTTTTGGATCCTTTTGGCGTTGTTTGCGAGGTTTATGTCATGTGAAGAATCGTGCGTATAAACTGATTCACTGGAATACCATGCACTCTAACAGACAAGCGGTTGCTTCTCATGCCTGTGTCAAAGCAAAGCATCAACTGCCCCAAAAGCCAAACAAGAGCGCATGAAAAACCAAGACAAAACCAGAGCAAAACGCTCTATGACTCCAGTGATCAACAGTTCTCATGCCACCGTCCGCAAAATCTCCGGTGGTCCCCACTTCACCGCACGCATGCCGAAGTCGTAGTGATCTTGTTTCGACAGCTGCTCCTGCAGGTCTCGGTCGGGAGTCGTCAAGCTCGTACGAGCGCCGGTTGAGGTGATTGCCTAGGTAGGAGCCTCTCCGCTGCACCTAGATCTATCATGATCTATCTGGCTTGGTGTGTGGGTCATCTGGTGTGACAAGGGCTGGGCAGTACAACTCCCATCTTCCATCCCACAGATTGACATGTTTACAAACGTTGCAGAGAACACATGGATACGTATTCTTCCGAAGGCAAGGCTATCCTCATACAACATCTTCACCTAACCCCGTCGCCGGCCCCCCACTTTGTTCACTATAATCCCAGCCTCTCAACATCGGGATGTTTGATCGTTTGCACTGGTGCCTTTGGTGGAACTAGCAGTAGCAAAGAGCTATTCAACAAACATCTACTGTAGTCATCTAAGAGTTGCATTACAAGTGCAAAACCCTTGCCAGCGCAAGACATATAATGACTTAACATCTCTCTTGAATCTCTCATCTATATATATATATACTGTATATATATATATATATTGGATTTCTTTGGACCGTCTGTTACGATTGTCACCTGTTCTCTCACCTGTTGAGTTGCATTTGGTGCTGAGATCCGTTGTTTTGCGTGAATTGAAATGCTGAGCAAAAGACACTCCATGACACTCCACTGCCTTCTCCGGTCGGAGAAAAAGGCTTAAGTTGCATAAGGCCCTCCGTCCCCTCCGCGCCGAGGAGAGTTTGTAGAGATTTGTGAACTTGCCACTGAGGACTTTGGCCTTCCCAAAACCTGGCCACAAGCCACTTGGAACATCAGCTAGGCGGCACAACGTGATCCGATCGGGGTGTTCACCCTGAAAATCCAGGGATGGTCACATCAATGTCTAGGTGCTTGGACTGTAGCGTAGGTTCTTGTGGTAGGTGATGCTTCAAAGCAAGAATGGGACCTGTACAGCGTACGGGTCCGTGTCATGATGTCTCACCACATCTATCCAAGACCTGTACATCAGTTCGTCCGCATTATTATACATATTATATATGTAAGAAGCGGTTGGTCTCATGAATAGACCCTCAATGCGTTGGGTGTTCACTCCTTCATCTATTGGAGTCGCAGGCTTTCTGCTTTCATTTCGCCTTGCTTTTGGCTTGAAAACTGATGCGCTCCAGTTGTGGCTCCAGAATGATGTCATTTGGCGTTTTTCAGTGTTGTTCAGTGGTTTTTGCAATTCTTCAACTCTAGAAGACCTAGAAGGACAAACCACAAGGGACGGGAAGGACTGTACGTCAACCAGGCCCGGATACCAATGTACGAAGTCCTGAAAAAATTATAATTTCAAACTCGAGAAGATGTCAAAGCACACACCCCTGAAGTTTAGTGAAATGACATAAACGGACCATCCGAACTCGTCATACCTCAAATCTTTCCCGCCCAAAACCCACCATTCGCAGGACAAGTCGACCATCCATTGTCAGGCCCATCCAGGCCGTTTTGAACCGGCCGCTGCCGTCCACAACGGTCGTCAAAGGCACGGGTCGATCGACCGCGATGCGTGGACTCAGAGCGATCGACAGCTCACAGAAATGTTTGGAGTGGACAGGCTCTGCAAGAGCGGAAGGTGGAAGTCTTCCAAGTTCTGATTGAAAGCACTTCCCAAGGTGAGTTCTTGTAGCCTTGGACAGCTGGCATCCAATGATTGATTGAAGCTGTCTCCGAAGACCAACTTCTCAAGCTGAGGGAAGTCGCCCAAAAAAGGGTGATCAAAATGTTGTCCAAAGGTCAAACTCTCAAGATGTGGCATGGCAAGGTCGAAGCTTTGATTGAAGTCTTGCCCCAGTGTCAAGCTTTGAAGACTGCTTGGCAGAGTTTCAGTCTTCAAACTTTGGTTGAAGAACTGGTTGAATTCCAAGGACGTCAGATTTCTGGGCAATTTGACCTTCTCCAAGCTTTGATCATAGCACCGTCCGAAGCTCAAGCTCTCCAAGGCTTCAGGAAGCCTTGCGGAGTCTAGAAGCTGATCAAAGTCGTGGCCGAAGCTCAATTTTTGAAGAGGTGCTGGGAAGTTCACCTTCTCTAGGCTCTGATTGAAGCGAAACCCTAGGTTCAGACTCACAAGGTCACCTGGGAATTCCACCTGATGCAGCGGTTGATTGAAGTCGCCCGCCAGCGTCAAGCTCTTGAGGCTCTTTGGGAAAGTGATGGAATCCAAGCTTTGGTTAAAGTCTCCAGCCAAGATCATGTTTTCCAGCGCGTCCGGAAGCTTCAGATCTTCGATGCTCTGGTTGAATTGTTTTGAGAGGACCAAACTTTGCAAAGAGCTGGGCAGCTTGATCTCTCCCGCGCTTGGTTTCAAGGTCCCTCCAAAGTTCAGAGTCTGCAAGTGTTTTGGCAGGTGAACCCCCAGCCAGCTCTGGTTGAAGTCATTTCCTAGGGTCAAGCTTTGTAATTCCTCGGGAAGCTTCACTTCCTTCAGGCTTTGATTGAAATAGTATCCCAAAGTTAAGTTTTGGAGCCCAGCTGGGAATTGGACCCTCTCCAAGGGTTGATTGAACAAGCCGGTCAGAGAGAGGCTGCAAAGACTTTGGGGGAAGTTCACCGCATTCAAGCATGAGTCAAAGCCAGGCCCTAAACTCAAGAGCTGAAGATTCGGAGGAAAATCCACCTCGTCCAGGTCGTGTTGAAAGCAAGCTCCTCAAACAAGCAAAAGCAACAATGCAAAAAGCCTGCCTGTGTTGTCACCTAATCCATCCTAATCCTGAATGTAGATGCAGAGCAGAAAAAACAGCCGATACACACGCTTGTGGGATAAGGGGCCAAGGGGTGTTTCCTTCGTTGGAGCACGCAAGCGCAAGCGTGTAACACTTAAAAGTCCATTATATATGTATCAAAAAAATGCAAACAAAATCGGCTGCGAGGCTGACATCTGACATCTGTAATTTTAAAAATATATATATATGCATGCTGTTCCTCTCCAGCGCAGGTCTTGAACTACTTTTTTGTATTTGCATGACTCCAGCTCTGGCTGGGGATACTGCAAGGACTATCATATCCAGAGATGTGTCCAAGTCCAACCTGTGGACCCGGCCTATGTCCCACACTACACGTGTCACTTTCTGCGCAAATACTGACTGTAAGGGTTTTTTGGGCTGGTGTGTCGGTGTGTCAAGCCCCTTCAGCAAAGCTTCCAAACTTCAGGGACTGCAGCATCACTGGAAAAGCGATTTCCTTGAGGCTCTGATTGAAGTCCTTATTGACGGTGAACCAAGCGAAACCAAACAAAGATACCCATCCCGGCCTACAGTACTTACTACTTTGTTCCATTTCAGGAAACTGGAAAATTGCCAAAATGCTGCCAATATGTGCCCAGAGTCATGTCCAAAGGATAGACTCTTGAGATTTTCAGGAAAAGTGACGTCCTCTAAGGGGTGATTGAAGCAAAATCCGAAGCCCAAGTGCTGCAAGCTGTTCGGAAAGTTGACGCAAGCAAGACTTTGATCAAAGCTATATCCGAAGGTGATGCTTAGAAGGCTTTCTGGTAGATCCACACATGCTAGACTATGGTTGAAGTCCCACCCAAAGCTCAAATGCTGAAGGCGCTTCGGCCAGCTCACACGCTCTAAGTCTTGATTGAAGCATAAACCAAAGGACAGCTCTCGCAGGGCATCTGGAAATCGAACCAAGTCCAAGTTCTGGTCGAATGAATCTCCCAGCGACAGACGTTCCAAAGCATTTGGGAACGTTAGCCTTTCAATGCTCTCATCGAAGCGATCTCCGAAACTCAACACCTGCGGCCAGCAAAGCTCGCGCTTCTTTAGAGATGGAACCCGTTCCCAAAAAGTGGTTGTAATATATTGTAATATGTTATAGTGATGTGTAATTTATTGTAATATGGTGTGTAACATATTGTATTTTTTTGTATATAATATGCTTACAACCTTGGAATACTAAACATACAGAACGAAGTGAAGGTGATGCAAAAGATCATTATAGGCACAAAAAGAAAAGGACGATGATCATGATGTAATCATGATGTAATCGTGATGTACCTGTCGGCATGATCTGAAGACTCACTTTTTGAAGAACTTCCACCTGAAGGCTGGATGGAAGCTCCACTCTTTCAAGGCGTGACCTCTCTCGTCCATAGTGGAGCTGCTTCACTCCCTGAAGCGCTCCACGGTGCGATGGACCCTCGGTGGAGACCGATGAGAACGCCTTCCATGCGGAGCACCTGAGACTGCGTACCAGTGTGGTCCGGTTTGGTGTCTGGTCTGTGTGGTCCGGTGCCAACTTGAGGTGAACAATGCAAGGATAAGCTGCTAACTGCAGGCATGCTGAGCATACTGCAGCAGGCTAGGCTCTGTAGGCCATGTTCGTGAGTCTTGACGCAGTGTCACATGGTTGACTAATCGGATACTCATCTTCCATCGTTCGAAGGGATTTCTTGAGTTCGTGCCGTTGCAGCTTGAGTTACTAACACAAGCAGTTCTGAATTCTGCAGAGCCTACAGCCTTTCATTACATGTGCGCCAGCAATGTAATGCCTCACCTTGTGAATTCGACAATGATGCGACATTTGTTCAACTAAGAACCCTGCACAATGCTCTTGTAGACATAGGACACCGTGGCAGAATCCTGTGCTTCATCTATGCCATGTTGCCTCAGGGCCATGTTTGGGCAATGCAGACTGATGCCCGAGAATGAGGGCTGCCCGACAAAGAGTACCTTCCAAAGGAACTGTGAAAAACATTGAAACTTAAGGCAGGCTTGAAGGGGCCCGGTAAGGCTCAGTCGGTGCGCTGGGCCTCAAGGTCTCTCGCAAAGTGATGGCCAGGTCGAGCTTTGAGTCCTTCATGCAAAGCACCGGAATAGCTCCAGGCTTGTCTGGGAGTCGAAGGCAAAGTCTTCTGTAAAGCTCCCAGCCAAGCAAATCATCGGGTATTCTCAGGCTGAAGCCATTGCCGTCCACGCCAAGCACTTGCAACTTCAACTCCATCAGCAACGATGTGATCCTGCTGAGCTTCTGCTGAGCTCTTTGGCTCCTTTTGGGCCCTTGAGAAAGGGCGTCCAGTCGGAAAGTGTCAGACAGAAGTGGCTTTGGTGGCACATGACAGTCTAGCACTTCGCAACCTTGCTTGTATAGATTGAGAAGCACATGACCAAACAACACTGCTGTTCCAACCCCACTAGCCATGACTAGCCTGCTCCATGGCATGAATTGAAAGGGCTCAATGAGGTCTGAGAGCCACTCCAAGAGGCAAAGGACCCTAAAACCACTGGACTCAAGCACAAAACTCCTACGTTTCATCTTCATGCACGTCGTCCACCTACCAGACCTACCACCTGGTTGAAAGGGCTCCATCATACTCGTAGGCTTAGACAAGCTACCATGTCTCTCTTGGGTCCACCGATGTCGTGTCCCCTACCTGCCTGGGGCCTGGAGTGGAGGAGCTGGAGTGGCGGCACACACACACACACACTCCAAGAACCATCCTGAATCTTCTTGCACCAGCATGTCTTCCGATCTTCTCCATCTTCCCATATCTTGGCCTTCAGCAAAGAGCATGATCTCTGCAATCAAGGTGTAGTCAGGAACCATCATGGCCACTGGGCGGAACAAAACCTGCACCGGGCTGCGGATTTCCGTGGATTTTGTGGATGTCAAAAGCTTTGCGCAAGCGGATGGAACAGGCGCTTCCGCCGTCGTTTTAGCTCCATGTCACACCTACAAGTGCAGATGATTTGCACGTCTACAGTGACAAAAGCAGGAGGCTCAAAGGTTACAAGGATTGCCCGTCGCTACGAGGGGACCGATTCTTTTGGCACTTTGCTTGTAATGAAGCGGGGATTGCATTAAGTGCTGACGGCCCTGCCTTCAGATTGTCAGGAAGTTCAGTACGTCCAGCATAGCCTGGGTTCCTGCCAAACGTCCGTAATTTGCCGACAAAATATGTCTAAAATCTGTATGTATATATACTATAAAGTAACTATTCGATGAACTCCAACCCTCAATCTCTTGCCAAACGTGGTGCTTCTGGCGTCTCAGACGGCGGGAGCACCGCTCTATGTCTCTTTTTTCAGGTCCCCGAGCATCGTAATGAAGATCCCACAGGTGTTCTTCACCTGAGCAAGCAAATGAGCCGCGGTTCCACCGGGATGAAAAGGGTTGGAAAGGGACTTCTTGGGTGTGTGTCTTGCAGACAAGGGCGAGAAATACATCCAGCAAAATCAAGGGATGTCAGCAGAATGAGAGTAGTTACAGTGTATATATAATTACAGCATGAATGGCAGGATAGTAGGGTTCTGACGGTTGGCAACTCCCCAGTTCTGACAAACGAAAACTAGATCCTCCCGTGTATCATCATGTAGCTGATATGTTGGGGTCCAGAGTGCGCGAGTTTCTGTCCCCACGTGACAATCTGTTGCTCCGTTCAACCTTGTGTGTGGGAGCCAGAGGGATTTGAGGGTGTGCCTGAGCCTGCCTAATTAGAGATGGTACGGAAAAACATAGAAAAACACCGGAAAAGGGCGAGGAATTCCAGCATCAAGAAGACTTTGGGGTGCTGCTTTGGCCTGCAAAAGACCTTGGCCCAGCAAGCTTTTAATACCAGCTTAGGACCTAAATCCAGAATTTCCAGAAAACGAGTGAAGAAGCTTCAACCTCCGCAAACACTGATGTCGACCAACGGATGCTAACTTGGTCGAGCCTTTAACTGTCTTGACTCGAAGACAAACTCCGTCAAGTCCTGGGATGAAAGTCAATCATGTGAAGAACGGCGGCCACCACTTTCACCACCATGCACCGACGGACGAAATTCGGGATCAACTGACGGACTTGTAAGTTAGAGTTAGATCCATGAGTCTGCATGTGTCAGGCCCGTCGGGGGAGCGTTTTCCGGTTTATCCGTCATGACCCACCTGGCTTCGGAGTTCATACTGAGTGTATTGACCCCAAAGCATCCCAAAAAAACATTGGCTGGCCTCAAAGCTGCGACCAATGCCACGCCATGTCATGTCATCATGTGTTCTACTTGTCCCGTCCCTCCACGACCTGCGAAGAAGGTCAGTCCTGTAAGAGTGCCTGACGAATCTCCAACACCTGAAGGCTTGGACGACGACGCTGACATGGACATCTCACCGAGGCTGACATGGACATCTCACCGAGGCTTGTTCTTCCTTTTGGGAAATCCTCTTTGGATGGTTCTTTTCTTTGGAAATCATGTCTTCATATTTGTTGTCCATGGTGGGCAACCGAAACGACTCAGTTCAGGGCCATTCAGGGCCACTGGATCGAAATCGTCTTGGTTTTGCCACGTTTTGGTTTTGCCACCCGGACTCGCTTTCCGCCGAAGAAAGGTCCGCCTGCTGCGCCACCACACTCAGCACTTCGATGGAGATGCGATTGAACTCATCGAGGCATGTCCAGGCACCAGCACTGCACGTCGTGTGTGGAGCTTTAAAAAGCAAAGCAGAGGAGCCAGGCTCGGGTCAATTTTTTGCATAAATGCACTGTGAATCTCTGGAGGCTCGGGTCGATTTGGGTCTAACGTTCGAGCAGTATGCCCTTACCTCGCGAAAACCTTTGTTCAGTCATGCCAGCATGAGTTTTTAAGTTCACCATCACCGTGGCTGTAAATTCTTCGAGGTTCCAACTACTGCGAAGGGGGCAGCAGGCCTTACCACTCCACTGTAAAGCTTGCCCATCATCTGGTAGTTGATCCTCAGCGAAAGAGGCTCTCTCCACTACGTTGTACACTGGGTTGTAAGCTGGTCGACAACGGAAGCCATCTGCAGACTGCTTCAGTGAGCATGTGAGAAGTGTGCGAAGTCCCAAATTGATCATGATTGATCCAAGATGAAAGCATGTACAATCAAACTCCTGCATTCTGTCTTCGCTTCGCGCTTTTAAGATCTTGGCTGATCTGAGCAGTTGAAGACCACGCACTGCCGAGCCAAGCCTTTGGCCAAGTCCTCCGACTTCGCACACCGCGGCCACACCGCACGAACACCGCGGCCGACACCGCACCACGCCCTCGGCATCACGGACCTTGGTGGACTCCGTCTTGCCGGTGCCCGCAGGGCCCGCGGGTGCAGCGCCCAGTTTGATATGCAAGGCCTCGGGATCGTCGCAACGGGCGGGATCGCACATGCCCGGGATCCTTACAATTGGTATTGTTGGAAAAACATGCAATTGTTGGTTGTGGCATCCAAGTTACTGAAAAAAAGCCTTTGGGAATACTGGCTCCTCGGTCTGGGCCTCCAACACCAGTGATGGTCATCCAGCATCGATCCGTCAGTGGCGTGATGACCAAGCGCGATAAGGCACCTCGGTCGGTCGATCTTGGCAGAAGCAAGACGGAGGTCCCGGGTTCGGGCACGGACGGCGAAACGTGTGGAAATTGCTGCACCCAATTCGTCGCCGCACTTCGTCGTGTTCATCGGCACGGACCCAACGGCGGCGCGTGAGTCGTCCACACAGCGTCACCCTTCTTTTGCACGAGTGCATTCCTGGGACAGCTTGCTTCGTTGGGACATCCCATCTGTACGCTGTCTGTACGCGCTGCTCAGAGAGCAGGCTCTTATGACGCACCCCCCGCCGCTTGGGGCAGAGGACAATAGACAAATTGAG